GCAATGATTAATCATAACAACTCTTCATACATCAGAATAATAATTCCAAGCAAAGTCAAATAGAAAGAGAATGCTGTGTCTTGCATGGCACCATGAGTTGAGTTCATTACAACAAAGCTCATATAGCTTCAGCACAAACTGTAACCCCTACCAACTCCACAAAAAAGCAATTACAGGTGAGGCTTCAGGAGGAGTATAGATTGCATCACCTTGCATCAATCATGTCCAAGAAAATTTTCATAATATATTCCCAAGGAATTTATTCTTGGTACTCTCCTCTACAAAATACTCATAAAGTTCTTCTCCCTCCAGAGTTTTATGCAACCAAATGAATAAGCCCTAAACATACTAAAGAAAGGAATACATCTTACCTCAGAGCTCCAGTTGTTCACTTCCCCAACAAAGGAGGATTCAAAGAGCATAAGGGGACTGCTTTGTCCAGCTGAGTCCACCTCCAGGGTTAAAATGATGGTCTTGGCCTCCATTACTAGCTGTTCCAACACCACCACCTTCTCCCTAAGCACCTGGGCCTGAAGCTTCTCCACCTCCACCCCCTCCTCTTCTGAATCAACGCCCAAGTGTCACAGCGACACATGCTTCGTTAGTTCCATGCAATGCATCATGCACATGCACATAAAGCATCAAGAATGAACCAAACATAGCCAACACCACTGGCTTAAGTGCACCTCTAAGTGATTTAAGAGTCTGGAAACACTTTTACAAACTTGACAGAGACAACCAAGAATTCATGATCTAATCTTAAAAACTCAGTAGAAAAAGTAAAATTCTACAAATGCCTGAAAAGAACACAACTTTGCATGCCTCAAGCAAGCTAATGTGCCATCATTTATATTTTGCATTTCTCCACACTGACTTCATCATGGAAAATAAAAATTTCTAGAAAGACCACATACAAGTAAGTGAAAATTACTGAACCAAAACACATAAAAATTCAATTGTCTCCAGATCCACAAACCACATTGTGTAACTGGTACACAATAATAGGGCAAACATGCAGTGATGAAAGTTGACCTTTGGAAGCATAGAAATGGCATTAAGGGGGGAGTGATGCACTGAACCCTCCTACCGTCACATGCTGCCACAACTAGTCTAGCCTTTTCCATTTAATTTTTTTTTTAATGTCACAATAAACTAAAAGGATATTGAGATTAATTATAAGATATCAGTTTCATAAAATATTTTTAGTTGTTCCAGCAAGATGTAATGTTCCCACTACCAATCAAAAAGCTTGTAAGAATACTGTTGCCACAATAAAAAATAAAAAGAAACAAAAGGAAAAAAAAAAAACACAAGACTGTTCTCACTTGGTCCAACTTACATTCTTCACTGTTAATAAGACTATCAGCTGAGCTAGGTGGCTAAATCAAGCTCCTGATAAATGTGAGATGGCCTACAGGCAATCCCCTGGGAAAACAGCAACTTTTCCTTGTTTACTACCAATTCCAGGGAAAAAAAATTTCAGAAAAAGACAACATGCACTGTAAGTACCACATGCATGCATACAAGCATGTAAAGCATGCATTACATGTATCACATGCATGTGAGATCTTTTCACCTTTGTACTGAGTAGTGAAGTGAGGAAGGAACAATGCTCAACCGGCATGATCAAGAGTCTCATTAGATATGTCATTACATGAAGGTTATTAGTCATCATGCACAAGAAAAAATTGATTCACATGATGCAAAAAAAGGCATTACAAGGGAACAAGTGTCAAAGCAATTCCAAATTGCAGTCTTTGTGCACCTATATGTTATATTGATTTGATATTACTATACTTTTGACTTTAGTATATTTTTAAAAGAACAAAAAAGGCATCCCAGCCTGACATTCAATTCAATATGAAATGAAAATCAGATTCAAATTTCCATTAGACTAAAAACTGAGACTTATAAGGATCAAGAGAATTCCTTTCTATAGAATTTACAGTTGTGATAGGCTAAAAATGAGGAACACAAAGGGTACATTCTGTCCTGCATACTATTTCAAGAGGTGCACAATAGCACTCCATGAATTCACTCCAGATACAACAGCATAGAACTTGGAGAATACATACCAGGGCGAAGAAACCAATGGTCTCTCTCAGTAATGGCCTTCTGTTCCCAAATGCCTGTAAAGGAGGGGAGCTGAAGTGCCTGAGGGTTTTCTTCGATGGCCACCAAAGGGTGAGTCTTGCTTTGGTGGGACAGTCACAAAGTCCTTCAACACCATGAGGAAGTCCACATCAAACACCAAGAGGAAGCTGAACACCTTGCATTCAACTGTGAAATAATGACATCACATCAAGGCATGATCCATTCCCTGTGGTCTTGAAGCATATTTTGAAGCAAAAATGCAGTCATATTCTGATATGCAAAATTTCCTTGTATCACAAACTCTGACATAGGTCAGTAAATATGGTGCAAAACATCAATCACACAAATGGAAGTTGCATTGATATCCTCTTTTCAGTTTCTAAGTTCCAGGAAAATTGAAAAAAAGCAGAGAATATTAACATTCTTGTATAAACAGCAAGGCCTATGTATCTCCCTTTTATCATTTTTAGGAGAAATGAGTTTTTAACAAGAATCAACCTGGCAATGATACGCACAAGAAATCACAAATATGAGAAGCTACAAGTTAACTGACTCCTGCTCACTTGAGCAGCCATTTAGCTATGGGTCCTTGATTCTTGATACAGACACAAGTCAGTTTTTATCACAGCAATAGATTGGTATATGTGATAACTATGGACTCTAGAAACAATCAATCTGATTTTATCCATAAGCTGATGGGTACTTCCTATCCAACCCATTACACGTTATCCAAATAGTATGAAGTAGAAGTCTGTAGAGAAGAAATGGCAAGTGAAAGATATAAAACAGGAAGTCAACTTAATAGTAATAAGAACCAAAAGTGGCAGTCAAACATACTGTCAAGGTTCCCATTGCAATCTTGCTTCAGCTTGAATTCAACCATACTCTGCAGTTTCTTTACATCAGCCAGGGGTATCTTCTTTTCCATTCCTTTTTCTTCCTTTTTCTCTTTTGACTCTTCTAACCCCTTCCCTTTATTGCCCTCCTCCTCCATCATGATCTGATCCACCAGCTTAGTCAGTGGGCCCTTGCGTTCCATGAGTCTTGTGATTCCCGAGTGGGTCCCACGTTCATCATCAACGATGCAGTTCACCAAGACGAGCTTGGCCTCTACTTCCCCATTGGATGACATGTTGGCATTCAAGGCCAAGATGGAGAGGCTACAGCGGGCCAGGCTCTGCTTTGGGTTTCGCTCCACTACCTTCTGACCTGTCATTAACTTCTGCCCTACCTGCTTTCAAATCAGATTATTTCAACTCATTCCATTATAAAAAATAAGTTATTTAGAATACTTGAGCATTCCTTACCAAATTGGAAGACCCAGAGTACAAGACTAGTTCCACTGAGTCCAGCTGGATACCAATCTGAAGTGCCGTATAATCCTGCTCTTCCCTTGGAGCTGTTGCACTAAGTTTTTCTTCTTTCAGGGCTACAAGAAAAGATGAAGTTTTTATCAAAGCAATCTATTAACCAGAAATGTCTAAAATCATTAGCATAGTTTGGTGAAGGAAATTATGCATTTGCTTCAATGTTAGGCAAGAGAACTAAATTAATCAAAAGGAAGACATGCAATCTCACCAAATCCAGCAGAAGGAATAGAGATTGAGCCAGGCAGAAATGACTGAGTCATGATATGACCAGGAACTGGAGATGATGGGCTTGCAGGCACTTCTTTCCGGCTTCCCTGAGCTCCACCCCCTAGATTCTCTTGTAGCACTGCCAGTGTGAACTTGTAGTCTCCCTCACTCAGACACACCTGAAGAAAAAATTCCCCTCACCATTTATGAATAATACAAGACAGAGATTAAATGCAAATGAGCTTAGACGTATGTCTGGAATAGAGAACCATTCACAATAGATAGATGAAGCCACAAACCCGGATGCTTCCAAGATTGGCTGAGATGTCATTTTGTGGGTACTGCAGGTACGAGCCAAGGGAGAGGTTGCGCTTGAGAAGGAATTTGAAACTGATAGGTTCAATGAGAAGGACCTCAGCCAGAATGTCCAGGGATTCCTCACTTAGCAACTGCCTGCAAGGAAACAAGAATGAAGAATAAAAGACCAAGTTACTTATGAATGACAGACATAAGACAAGGTTGGTGATTTCAGTCCAATGCTGATTGTTCCAAAGTTCAGGATAAGAATCATGCAAATCCCTCTATGGAGTCTGTGCATGGGAAATCAGTCAGAATCAGGCACTTTGAAGAAATTGATGTCTAGGACTTTGAAGAAAATTGGTTCCAAAATTCCCTTTGGTTTGTAATGAGTAATAAGTAGTAATCAAAAATTAACCTGGAGAACTTGAAGTCCCTCAAAGTGATGTTGAGGTGGTCAAATACAAGGGGTGGCTTAGATTTTGACTGGCTTGGAATCACTTCAAAGTGATTGTCCAACTTCAGAGTACCCATGTCAGCCAAAAAGACCTCTCTGCTAGTGTAACTCCTTGGTATCACTATCACAGGCGCCTGGGAATGTTTCAAACACAACACACACACATATAAATAAATATATATATATATATATATATATAATTATACAGAGCAAACACTTTTCTCCAACTCCTGTGTCTCACATAATCCAAACTATACAAGGCATCATTATTGCAGTTTAATTTGACAACAAAACTAATCCAAATATTTTCTGACCAAATTAGAGAAATAAAACTGGAAGAACTGTCCCATTCTCAAAAGAAAGAAAGAAAATGGGCATGTCATCATGACCACTGAACATCACGATTCAATCAGAATCAGTCATAGGAAACTATGAACAGATATGATTTTGAGAACATACCTTCATGTCGACTGCAAAGCGAATGCAGAATGCCTGCTGGTATGCCTTGGTGACATTAGCCCTTGCTGCTTCAGCTGCAGCAGCTGAAGCTTCAATAACAGCATCTTTCGCTGCTTGGAAGTGGTTGATGAACTCCTACACAAAATAGAAGTGCTGCCAATCTAAAAATTGTCTTGCCACAGCCACACAAACTCACTGTGCCAGGGTCCTGCACAAAATTTGATAATCCAAAAACCTGACTTTTGCAGACAATTCAGGATTTACTTTCTTGACATGGTATTTTAAAACATAACTAAACCTTTCATGGATTGCAATCCACATTCTACATTCCTAATTGAGCATGTGACAATGAAACTTCATAAATTTCCTCAAGTTCAGGAAGCAGAAGCATTTTTTCAGATTTTTCCAGAATTTCTTACATTCCATTTCCCTTTCTCCAACATTTTCAAGCTTTCATCATCTGTGAGAACCCTGAGACATACAAGGATGTGACATACAAGAATATCCATGATGGTTTGGTGGAGATACACAACGTGGACTCCTCCTATGCTACCCCTGATGTCCATGTCCACAGCAGATGGATCCGAAGCACGATTGCTGGCAGCATTAGAGAACATCTGCACTGACAGCTTGAATGCATCATCTCCCACTATATGAACCATCTGAAAGAAAAATTACTTTCTGCAGTAGGCTTTAATTCATGTAACGAGCAAAGATCCCTCCTCAGTGTTATGAAGTGGTGGAAGGAAGCATAGAATTTAAAATATGTTCTGAATGCAATTAAGACAGACCATACAAATGTCAGATCATGCTCCTCATGAGGTAATCCTAGAAAGTACTGTATACTGTAACTGTCCAAGTTACAATGATGAAAAAACAACATGGCAGTGAATGATCTGATTTATGCGAATGATATCAGGAAATTTAGCCTGGATCATCAAAACCAGGCCTAAACAACCTGAGGCTGAAAGTAGAGTAAATGCCTTTTTTTTTATTGTTTCTTACTTCACATCAGTAAAAAAAAAGCATATGAGGAGTATAGACCTTAGAGTAGAGGGCATGGGGAGAGGGATCCAGCATGAGGAAGTCCTTCATCTGGGCTTGTACAATCATGTGTTCCTCTGTCATCTGGAAAGAAGCTCGAAGCCCTGCAATGGAGATCTCACACAGGGGTCCCCGAGTCCTTGACACCGTCAGACCCAGATGTCCAAGGCTTGCCTCTACCCTCAGCTGGATTACATCACGCTTCTTCCTTCCTGAAACATTAATTCATTCCATCTCATCAGAGTGGTGCTATTACAATATTCAACAGCACAAGGTTTAATTCTGGCAATTATTCTGGCAGCGCTCTGCAATTCAAAAAGCAAGCATGTGCAGAAGTTTTAAGGAAAAATCTGAGGACATTTCCAAAGACCAGGGGAAGAAGGGGGAAAACAGGAGAAAGCACCAATGATTTTCATTGAATCTTCATAACCACATCATCCTCCTCTTCTATTGGGAAAAAAACAATCCAAAAAAAAACAAGTTTGGCAAAACCTAGTCCACGTGAGTTTTTTAGACAGCCTTCTCAAATATAACAATGTAAGCAAAATATGGGGGGAATACAGAGAATAGACAAAGTAAGAAACTAAAATTCCTGAAGACAATTTGTAGAGTGAGGTGACTGGCTAATAATGTTAAGGGAGGACATTCTTGCCCTCTCACCACTATGAGAGAGAGTATGAAGGTTTGTATTATCATATTAAATCAATTTTCCATAAATTTGGTCACAATGATAAGATAAGCACATCTGTGAGCTAAAGTAAAAAATTTGGTGAGGTCTGAACTGAAATTTTTCCCTACAGTGACAAGAACTTCATGCTGACATTCAGATGAACAAAGTGAAACATGGAGAACAGCAAGGGGGAGCCCTTTCTTACTCAAAGGAAAGATTACAAGATCTGCAAGATAATGCACTAATGACGGCTTAAGTGCATCAAGATAACATGAAAACCATGAATGCCAGAAAGAAGTGATAAATGACAGTTTTTCCACACACACACACACTAATTTATATATCACTATTTGCAATCTCTGTTCATTCTTTGAAGCAGTATATTTTCCAAATTTTCCTAAAATATTCATAAGTAATATTGTTCCTAAAAATCTATATGGAGTGTAAAAAAGGCTTCTCATCCTCATAGGAATTTTGGCCATGCAAATGTCTTATACAAAGAAACTAATAGGGAAAACTCCCCTTCCCAGTTACATATCCCAGTGAAATATGGTGCATTTGCAACACGCACAGAAGAAGCAAAGACCAGTCTCACCTTTGAATCTGCCAAATCTCATCCATTACAGACACATTATTTCATAAATGCCAGTCTAGTGAAAACTCAAGCTAGAATATTAGATTTTACATAGCTATTTCATGCAGTACTTCCAATGCCAAACTGATGGTACTGTGAAGTGCAGCACACATTTTTGAGTTAAAGTGAGAATATACATGCAAAACACAACCATATTCTTGCACAAACTGGCACTGCACTGATTGCAGAAGGGAAAAAAACCTCTCTAATACAGAGATACTGAAACTTACCCAGTCTAGGAGAGCCTCTTGGCTTTGATATCTGGTGAAGGAAGAGGGAGGAAGCATGCCTGTGCATCCCAGTCTCAGTCTGATGGAGGTCATGTTCTGACCCAGCCCTCTTAGTCATCAGGGGCTTCAGTTCCTCAAAGACATCATTGCCATATTTCATCATGGCCAAGCAGAGAGCCTTCTGGAGCACTATGTCCAGGGAGGACACTTTCATGTTGATCTGCTGTGCTATGGACTTGTACAACTCCTCAAATTGAGGACTCTTCTCATCTGCCTGGAGGTCAAACAAAGCATTGTTCTCATTAATTTTGCAATGACTTTTTCATAATAAGATCATTCAGGTAACAAGTCTCATATATCCATGAAATAAAACCTCTGTCTATCACCTTAGGCTAGGGTGGTAGCTGACATTTTGCATGAGAATCCCACTTACTGTCCTTTGAACTAGTTGATTCATATGCTCTATGATATGATCTTTCTTCATGTCATTTCTTTTAAATTAACTAACTGCAGTCTACAGGTGTCAAAATGAAGAAAAAAAGGAGGACAGGTCACAGTGAACCATCTTACCAAATGTAATGGTAGGAGATAGAAAACAAAATCAAGGTAAAGGCATTTAAATCATTCAAAATACATGCACTGCATGAAATTTTTTTAATTACTGAATAAGTGAGAGGCTGGATATAGAAAAATTCAGCACCAAACAAGAACTAGCCCTTCATTTTAAAGAACATGAATAGATAAGGAGGGAGTGAATACTTCAGGATACAGGGTTTACTGAGATTGTTTTTGTTTTTTTTTAAAGAAATTTAAAGCTTCATTCAAAACCAACTGATGACATAAATTACTTAGCCTATAGCTTCATCACTTTTGTGTCTTGAGGGTTGAATTGAATCAGATTCTGAAGCTCTTTGCTCATATCAATGATTGTATTTTCTGGTCATCCAGAGTTCTGATGAGTTGAAGAAAAAGCTAAGAAAAAGCAGGAAAAAAGGAATTTTGCTATTTAAAATGAGCGGTTCTTGTTATCCTTAACCCTTTAATGGCACATGATCATTGTAAGGATCATATCTTTTGAGACTGCTCTTGCTGTTACCATTGAACAAAACCTGTTTTATATGGTACCGCTTAATAGCTCTTGAAAAGGGCTCTTTGGTGATGCATAATTCATTCAAATAGGTTGTAGTTCAGGCAAGCTGGATCAAAAAGAAAAGTTGTGACCTGATATGTTTGATTTTTGTGAAATGGAATTTTGGAAAAAAAAAAGTAAGAATTTTTTTTTTTTGGAAAAGGGAAAAATATGCCTGCATGCTACAAGAATGGACAGATAAAATTGGGACAAAGACCAAGTTTTAGGGGCTCCCCATGTGTGAACAATGGCCTATTATTCAATATTTTTGGTTAATGAATTTTGTCATTAAAAAATTCCATTTTGAATAAATTAGTGAATATTTGACATTTTCTGCAAGCTCTGTCTTTAGCTAGGCCTGTTCGATAGAAAAAGTGGTGAAAAAATTTCCTAATTATTAGTTTTCTTAATTCAGCCAAGAAAGGGTTAACAGGACCTGAGTGGCACTTACTGTCACTCATGACAGTGAGGTGCAGTGAGACATTCACCAAGTTTCAATTGTGTGTCTCATAAAACACAACAACCACCTCAAGTGAAATAAATAAATATATGTCACAGCCCCTTGTTCATTCATAGGAAAACAACAGAAACTGCTGTGCTGATTGTCTTTTGATCGATAAGCCCAAATTTTGAGGGGTTACATTTATATTCCTTACCCTAGCTACTTTGCAAATATGGGGAAAATTCTGAGAAATCATAAAAGAATCATATTGGGTAATTTTTTCATGCTAATTCACACCTACATAAAGTATTCCACAGCATACAAACCAGAATAAAGTCTAAATTACTGTTCATTATAGGGAGTAGAGGAAAATCTCATAACTATGTATTTGACAGCTTATATTTTGCATTTGACAGCCTATTTCCATATCCCTTAAGAAGTAATATCATTGTGCCACTGACCATTAGGTATTGGAGGTTGAAGAGCCCATCCTTCTCCATGCCAGACTTCAGACTGGTCTGGAGGATTATGACTTGGGAGGAGCCAAGACTCTCAAATAGGAGCCCTCCAAGGTTGAATGTGAGGACCATGTCTGTCTCCCTCTTAATCATTGATGCCCCCACGTCCTTGATGAGAAAGTGCAGGGGGGGCAGGTACGAAAAGCTTGTCTCCTCCAGTCGCATGCTGATCTCTACACCCATCAGGACATGACATAACATGAGAGTATGAAAATTGTGACATTCCTTTACTGTGCAGGCCTTCTATGCAGTCTAAAATAAATCTCATACTTTTTTCATATTTTCCTGATATTGGATATAGAGTGCAAGGTTACCTATAATGCAGTTGAATTGTTCAACTATGAAGTACACATCCAGCTTTTTTCCTTAAAATGTGAGGTATAAATTGAAAAATAATCTCATAATATTACCATAGACTAGAATCGATAACAACTGTGAACTATAAGGTGCATGATGTCAACTCAGCCTCAAGAAAACAAGGAACACAGCAGTTTGCATCATGAATTCTCCAATGCAGGTATACATCACAAAGAGATGTCTGCCTAATCATCCAGAACATTCTCAAGCAAGTTCATTTTTCTTTTAAATTTGGATGAAGTGCTGACAAGAACAAAGAGAAGCAGAATTAAAATCATTATCATTCCAATTTACTTGATTCCCTCAATCCCTTCCATAACATCACTAATTTATGTGACAGACCCACAGAGTGAAACGGTATTTTTGCAAGAACATCATCTCAATTAACCAGTAAAAAAAAACAACACATTAAAATATTCAACTCATTGAGGGAAAGAAGAAGAAAGTGAGAAGCTGACCTTCAATCTTGGCTTCGACCTGCAAAGAAGTGAACTGCACCTTCCCTATCTCTTCCTCCACAGTCAAAGGAGCTGGAAGTTTGAAGATGTTGTCATTCAGGTTCAGGATCTGCAGAAGCATAAGTGAATAGACTCCCATATTTCCATGTCAGTCTCCAATGAGTGACACGCACCATATTTAATTTGAACATATTTAACTTTTTTATGGGTTCACATGAGAATCCATTAAACTGAGTAGATATACCCCCAAAAAGGCCCATTATGCAAAAGAATACATTCAATCTAAACCTCTCTTGTACATATTGTCAATGATGGATACGTGAAAAAGTGTTTTTGTTTAAATTCTGTTCAAAGCCTCCCTTGTCAAAAAGTGGAGCTCAATCAAAAGAGAAAACACATCGGAATGAAATGTCATTATGATCATCTTCAGATAAGAACAAGTTTCCAGATTCTTCAAGCAGACAAAAGCAATTAACAGTACACATCTTATTATGCCACTACTTGAGCTAGTTGGAGTTTTTTTTGCATTATGAGATCCTTACAATTCCACTAAGAAAAGCTCAGAATTTCAAAAGAGTTGCATAAGAATAGGTGAACTCTCCATATTAACTGAAATGCATGGACAACATGCAAGAGGATGGAAATAAAATAATATGTGTTCTATCCATAGCTTATTGTAAAAAGAATTTTAACCAGAAAGAATACTATTCTGAAAAAGGATTAATAATAACTGTGCCTGCAGCAATCTCTATTCTTAGATTTCTACAGACAATTTTAATGCCTATTGATGAGATTTTAAACAAAGAGGACAACAATGTGCCATGCAATAAAGCATATAAGAGGGCTTGGAAATACTGCATAATCCAAAGCAACCTCACTTTCATGTAGTCCAGTTCCAAAAAAGTAGTCATCTATTGGGTCAATCGGAAAGTTCTGGCCATTTCGAGAACATTCCATACAACCGAGTTTTTTAAAAAAGCAAAAAAGTTCATTCAACAAAGTAATCACCATCACAGTCAATCACCTTCTGCCTATGATCAGGCAGACTCCTGATTCCATTCCTGTAGAACTGAGCTGGCTGTGAGTAGAAAAAATCAGTCAGCCAGTTTTCAACATCGGCGTCATTGTTGAACCTTTTCTGGCGAAGATGGTTGTCCAGAGCGTAGAAGAGATGGTAGTCAGTTGGTGCCAGATCTGGGCAATACGGAGGGTGCGGCAGAACCTCCCAGCCCAGATCTAGCAGTTTCTGCCATGTGATCTTTGCGACATGCGGCCTTGTGTCATTGTGCAGGAATCGAACATGATGGTGCCCTGGCCTCACCATGCGGAGTTTGTCAGCGAGCTTCTGCAGCTGATCGCAATAGTAGGCAGCAGTGATGCTGGTATCGGGTGGGAGCAGCTCAAAGTCGATCACACCTTGCATGTTCCACCAAATGCACAACATGACTTTTCAGGGATGCAGGTCACCTTTTGGCTCCAGCTCTGGCTTGGCATCGGCCCACTGGCGCCTGCGTCAGTAGTTGACGTATAGCATCCACTTTTCATTTCCAGTGACTATGGAATCCAGCCAGTCATTTGTGTGCTCGTATGACAACAGTGAAGTGAACACCTCAGCACGACGTTCACGGTCGCAGTTGGTCAGATCGTGGGGTACCCACTGACCCAATTTGCTCTTCTTGCTGATTGCAGCCAGGTGCATCACGATCATGGACTGGGCACAGCCAAGTGCTTTCACTAAGTCACGGGTACTTTGCTTCAGATCGGCTTCCATCATGTGCTGCAACTGCTCATCGTCGATTTCAGATGGGTGGCCTGACCTGGGCTCATCCTCAAGGCTGTAATTTCCAGACCAGAAACGATCGAACCATCGTCACGCTGTCCTTTCTTAAACCGCACCTTGGCCAAACTTGGCGCAGATGCGGCGACTCGATTTGGCTGCTGTGATGCCAGATAGGAAGTCGTAAAGAATGATGTCGGGCAGTCTTGTTAAAGTCGATTTTGGAAGTCATGGTTATAGGCTTTGAATGACTAAGCAACTGCTGTGTAATCACACCCACAAACCCTTTATATACTGCTACTGTGGAAGGTTCGAGAAAGTTCCAGAAATTTTTTTTTCTGGAAAATTCTCGAAACAGCCAGAACTTCCCGATCTACCCAATAGATGCACTATACATGAAAGGAGGGAAAACTTCATGCATACTGGGAACAAAGGAACAAAACAAAACTTACATCTGTTGTATGAATGACAGATTCAGACATGACATCTGCAGAGAGAATGGACTTCTTTTCAACTCCTGTCACTGCAGGCACAGAGAGTTTTGTGGAAGAAGTTTGGCCCCATTCCATTGTGAGGAGAAGGCGCAGGGTGGTTATCAGCTTCTTGTGGGTCAATGTCACCCCCACTCTTGGCAGGTGAACCTTCATTGCAAAATTAAAGCAAATATCAACAGCTAAGACTTAGGCTGTCAACTACATGATCTGCTAGAACTAGCTTTGCACTAGTGCTGAAACTAGTGGATTTGCCTTTTGCTGCAAAATACTAGGTTTTTCGCAATCTAATATTATGCAAAGTGGGAGATGCCAGTCCCTCAAGAAGACAGATGGATGAAAATTGAAAGAAAGATGTGACTCTTCATGAAGCATGTGGCATCAACATCAAATCTGATTATTCAGTTTCTTTACATATGCTACATTGCTGTGCAGTTCATACTTGCAATATCACATATTGCCTATGGCAAGCATATCAAGAGTTGCATATGATGGAGTAATCATGACCCTACATAATTCATGAAGACCATGTATTCTTTCAGAAAACCTTAGCATGAAGACCATACCTCAATTTCAAAGTACACTTCAGTATGAAGCGACTGTACAGCACTAGAATATGCCATGCAAGCACTCCAATCCTCCCTTTTGATTTCTGAGATCAAAACCAGGATGGTATAGATAAAATAAAAACGACTGTTTTGATTCCAATGAAAATGTAAAAGTCTGAACTGAAAACATGAAATGAAGGAAAAAGAAAGAGTCTAATAAAATTATGAGTAATAGTTGAGTGTGCAATCCAACTGAGAAACAATGCTTACCATGATCTTGGCCTTGGGAAGGCGGACATCTGCCGAGCGGATGGAGAGGTGGATCCCAACTTCCACGCGCATGGGAAGGAGGATGTGCAGGGGACTTGGGGAATCTAAGCCCTGTGATTCCCCATGAAGAGCTCCCAACCAGTTCTCTGATGCATGTGCAACCAAGGCCTGTAAAACAAAACCTCATTTGAAAAGGCAATAGTAAAAAGACCTGGGCATAAATTTCCTTAGCTAGAGCCAGACCAACCTGAATCTGAGAAATCTTGAGCTCAAACTTGTCCACACTCTCCTTGAGCATGTGAGACAGGATTTCTTCTTTGGTGGAGCCAGACTGAAGCATTGCATTCACATTTGCCACTTCTTGATCTCTGAGGATCGTTCGCATGTCTAGGGCTCCGAGACTGACCACCAAAACATGACTCCTAATTAACCAAAAGATACAAAAGTACCTGTAACAGCAGTTTCCATGCTTGGGGAAAGGCTTTTGAAGGAAAATGATCCTAACTTGGAAGAAAACACCCCATGTTCAGGTAGGACCAGATGGGAGGGCTTGAGATGGATGTCAATGTCAATGATGGGTCTCTCAGTAATTGTCTGTTGCATCCCTAACAGAGAATAGTGCTTGATCTCTTCAAATGTGCCACGGGCTGCAGCTTGAATGCTGAAAAGGAAATTACATTTTATCCTAAATGCTGCAAAATAACTGTGCACAATGCTCATATACCTAGCATGGAGGGAAAACAATTGGGGAAGGAGAGACAGGAGGAACCTCATCAAGGTTATGTAAATGAGAATAATTCAAAAGAGAAAAGGTTCAAAAAATTAATCCTAACTGAATTTCACTCTCTCAATGCTGCCTTCAGACACTCCCTAAATTATAAAGTTACAATAGAGTCATTTTGAAACAAAGGAATTTGCATCCAAGATCAACATCAAGGATAATCAGGACATGCAAAAGAAAACCACCCTTCCTGTTACCCTGGAAATGAATACTGCTATAATCAAGTCCACTAGTAACAGAAGCTCTCTCAAAGTAGTATAAATAATGCTGAGTCTATGCAGCATTTTTTTGGCAGCATTACAGCATAAATGGGGATTCTTGAAGAATACAACTTATGTCAGCAACTTTGGTGCTAATGAATGAAGCCACATGCCAAAAAGTGTCAAATTTGAGCATGTTCATTATAGTCATTTTACAATAATAGCGTAGCATTAGTGCCATTCTCTCCATGGAAATCTATAGTGCTTTAAAAAGGAACTAGAAGACTGACTAGGAGAGGTTACAATTTTAACCCATTCGCATTCCATTTTTTTTTCTTAAGAGTTGCTTTGAAATACAGCATTTAATTTTCAATCATAAATTACAACACAAAAATACAACCAAAGTCATGAATTCAAAAACCTATGGATTACAAGAACCTAAAAGGTGTATCATACCATCTAACTACCATACTGTTGACTAACAAGCCACTCTAAAGATTATAACAGACCTCTGCACGAACCTATCTCAGAGATGGTTAGGTACATGAATGAGTTGGTTTTACATCCCCTGGCATGCCTGCTCTTACTGCACATTTGCAGAGTAGAATGTGCAATATAATGTTTCAGAATTGACATTCTTAACTTACCCAATTTCACTCCTAAAGACAAAAACTTGTACAAGAAAAAATAACTGCCAGGGGTTAGTTTTTACCATGTTTATTACAAGCTTCTCACTCAACCATGAGTCAATCAATAGGATCATACTATCATTCAGGGATGGAAAGTCAACGTTCATGCCACTGCCACACTTATCCTGAGTGCCAAAAATAAAGATGGTTCAGTTTGAAAATAAAAAAATTTTAGGTACAATATGGACTTTAATGAAGAATGGGGAACGAAGATTGGAGAGGTGGCTTCTGCCAGCAGTACAATAATACTTGAGTTTTTTTCCCAGAAGGAGGTGAATTTACCACCCAAAATCCCCTCCCATCAGAAGACTCTTGATGCTACAAAAGGAGGGTGCAGATTAAATACTTTACTAGCTTCTGAAATATGTGTATTGCAATAGGAAAGCCATACACCACCCTGTATACACCTCCAGGGAGGGGAGGCTTCTCAGGCCATTGTGAGGAGGCTATGAAACCACTTGAACCCTTACTGAGTCATCCCACTGGCTTCTTCCAACCATCTCTGACATGCTTTCTTCTAAGACAAAAACCCATCCCATCATATATCATTCATAAAAAACCTATACAGTTTTCTTCTAAAATGGGCTTCCAATTTCTATGGGAGTTTATATTAGGCCATATTTTGGCACTGAGAGTAAAGAAATGGAAGCTATAACACAAAGACACAAACCCAGCATGCATACAATAAAAATCCAAAATTTATGAACGAACTCATCCAGGACGAGACTGGCAGGAGTCTGGAAGACATCCAGCAACTGGGTCACAGTGGGGGAGTCAAATATGACTTCCAAGGGCTCAGCAGAGGCCTGGATGTAGTAGTTGCACTTCTTGTCCAGAGGATTCATGGAGAACTGTGCATGGAAAACGGCAGATACATCCTCACGGACTTGGTCCTGGATGAGCATTGGTGGCTCCATAGAGCTTCTGGCCCAGCCCACTGCCAACATCTTGGTACAGTTGAAATCCACCCTGGTAATGGTGGAGGCAAATCATACATCAAATTCTGTACTTGAATTGTGACTTGTTTCATTTGGTAATGGGATTCAATTCTAACATCTTTTCTTAAGCATTCCAAATCATTTTCAAACATGGTGCAGAAGTTGAATCATAGCCAATTCCACTTCCATATCTAGGCCAATGGAATCTTTTCATATTCCATGTTAAACTGAGTCGTAATGTATTCCGAAAAAACTAAGTTTTTATCAAAACTCCTCCCCCCTCCAACAAATGAACAGAACAGCTTCATATCAAGGGTTCCAAAAAATGATAGTTCCCCCACTTTCATGGCAAAAACACATAGCATATATGCAGAACCAATTGCATGGAAATTCCATCATGAAGCCTTGTCAGATAGCCTGTCTATGTTTGTGCCTCACTTTTTTAAAATGTTTTTGTGAATTGCATGAATATCTCGAAGCCATGAATGTAATCTTTAACACAGAAACATTACCAGTGATTCATCAATTGTCCATGTAATTAGAACTTTTTGCATTTGACAGCCATTAATTTTTTTGTTCACAAGAGTCCAAAACCTGACAAAATGATCTTAGAAAACACTAGATGAGATTGACAAGAGGGACCATTGCCATGAGATAGGTGGGATGGCAAACATATTTATGAAACAATCTCATCTGAACTTGTCATTCCTACAACAACCCATGCTTTAATGCTCTTGTCACACGTAAACTACTCCATTTCAATGAAGTTTACTTCTTTGGTATTTATAAAGAGCCTGGCAATCTATCAGACTAGTATGGTCATGAACACATGGGAGCTTTCCTCAAAGATAGGGTGGAAGTTCTAATACAGCAGGACCCAATGTGCACTCGGTTTTGTCAGTAAAGAAAGGAGAATGGCAGTAAAAGTGACTTGGAAAACCTATGAAATAATAGCAGACTTTTCTGCTCCCTCATGAAATGTGTATACAATGCATAATAAACAGAAATATATAGTTCTGTCATTGGATTTTTTTTTAATAGATACTTCAGTTTCATCAGGACTTCATTTTATGAGGCTCTATGCATATGAAACCCAAATATTTTTTTACTTCTCTCAGATTACTGATGAGGAACAATTAATAAAGAAAAATGAAAAGAACTGACTGTAGACCATCAGCTGAAGGTCGCTGTTCTAATCCCAGGACAACGTTACAAAAGCAGAATTTGGAAATAAGCTTGACAGGCTGATCATTGTCCAGAATGCTGAACTGTGCTTCACCAAGGCGGATCTCAATCTTCCTTTCCACATAGGAGGCAGGGTATTCTGCAACCGTCATTCCTTCTTCATAGCCTATTGCCTCATAGAGCTTGGCCTTCTCCTCACTTGTCATGGCCTCAGCTAATCGTCGTGCTGTAAGGCAACAAAATCTGATGATAAGTATTTCTTCTTCACATGTAATAAAGACTTTTTGGAAGATATTCAGAGAAGACTAGTCATCCACGCTTATGAAGAAAGCAATAATCCATTATGCACAGGTGTTAAAAATTTGATACTGAAACTTGAAAAATGGAGCAAAGTTAACCCTTTCACTGATCCTGGGACATACCTTGTCCTATTACTAATGTTCTACTAAAATTAATGTAATTATAAAATTATCCATACAGAACATTAAATTTTTTTCATCCATATTGTTCAAAAGCTGGGAGTTATGAATACCATTCTATTTTCATTTTCACACAAAATCTTTCATTTGTACATATATTTAATAATTTTCCATTGCACAAAAATTAGTCACAGAAAGGGGTAAACAGATACAATTTCATGCAAGACGTATTTCTTTTTTAAATATTTTGATCCTTAGTAGTATTTACTCCTCTTATGCTCAACTTATAAATGCTTAATTATTTTGCTTATGCTTATTAGGCATTTCTGCTCACAATAGTCCTCAGTGGACTGAGGCTGTTGCTCTCCTCCACCTCCACCCCACATCCAGCCAAACCATCCCTGAGGTTTCTTCTTCTTCTTTTCCTCCATTTCTTTTTGAATTTTCTCTGTCTGGAAAAAGCATGAAAACACATAAAACTCAACCAAGGAAAAGAAATTTGAATGTAGGTCAAAAAAATGTTCTCCATTCTTGAGAACTCTTGCTTCTACATTATAGGAACCATGGCACAATAGCTGCATAGAAATTAGATTCACTCTATTCTGAGAAAAGAACTTTGTTAGAAAGGTTGTGGCAATAAAGAACAATTTTTTCAATGAATAAAGGGAAATAAAAGCTCAAGATGAAAGAATTTAGTAGAGTAGTTATTAGCTGTCACTGGGGCATGCTTTCCTGCATTCAGTGCTAATTGATGGCAGTAATTGCCATCTTCTAAAGACATACCAATCACAATATTCTCCATAAGGTCTTGCATTAAAATATCTTACATTTAGAATAATAAAGAAACATTTTTGGTCATAATATAGTGCTTAAAAACTAATGGCATGAAGTAGTAAAATGACATAATCTGATATCGATTTTTCTTAATTTGATTGCATGCTATGAAAGGGAAGAGCCCTCACGATCCATAGTTTCTTCTGGATCCCATGTTTTTAATGACAAAATTGTCCTAATATTCCCTATTGCAGTTTCTTTCTTATCATTATTTTTCTCCCCTACACAGTGTATAATTGAAATTCAAGCAATAGGCTATTCTGAACATCTTATTTGAGGAGCATGTGCCAGGGATCCTACTATTACTTTTCCTGTCAGGTGACTATCAATTTTGCATCAAATTACAGGTCCTTTCAGGTGAAAAAAAAATAGACGAGATACCTCCAACTCAGCAGAGCGTCTCAGGAGGCTGATGTTGAATACATCCAATTCCTTCTCCAATTTAGCAACCTCAGCCAAGAGCTCAGCAGAGGGCTTCTTCACAGTCAGCACCTTGCAATATGCATTCCGATATGCACGACACCTTCGGCGGTGAGCAGATATGTGGGCCCAGGTGAAAGACTCTTCCCGCTTGTGGATTCGATAGAGGACACTTTGGATTGCAAACTGCCACCTACAGAAAATGATTTTCATCAGTACTTTCAGAACTGAACTTGGAATCCATTCAGATCAAAGGTGATTTATATACTATTTATAGGTGATTTAGATACTTACATTTTATCAAGAAAGGAATTCTGGTGGTTGAAACTTATATGCTCTTAATTGTTAAATAAGGTGCTGAACTAAGTCTCTTCCTACTTAAAGGGGGCTCTCTACTAGACTTGTCTTGCACGGCTTGTTTTTTTTTAGGCTTCTTTTCATAACTCTATCCCTCAATTCTTGAATGAAAAGAAATAACAAGTTCTGAATACTATCTGCCATGGCCAATTTACAATAACATTTTTTTGCATCCCTAGGGCTAGAAAACTTCTGAAAAACTGAGTCCTCAGAGCAAAAACCACAAGTAGAGGACTCAACAGACAAGACACTTAGAGGAATGGTATCCATTAGGAATTGTCCCATTGTCATCCTTTGACTCAAGTCATGAATGAATCAGAACAAGATGGAGCAAAAGGAAACCAGTTATCTGGGACCCTTCCATCATGTTTCAAGTACTTCTCACACTGTACTTCTTAAACATGGATAGTCTTGGCCTGCCTCTGGTGTCTCATTCAGTTTTCATGGATATGCTCTCAGAGATGGTAACACAACTATCAGATGTAGGCAATTCATAGATGAACTTCAAAAGGAAGAGCTTGATCCCCATCAGAAATGCAATGTTCAGAAAAGAATACCTGCACCTTCTTAAGCAAACCAATCACAGATTTGGTTCCATAGCCTCTCACCATTCCTTTGCATAGCCTTTGTAAGATGGAACATCTGGGCGGAAGCGGCAGTATGGCAGGCCCCGCTGGAGACGGCTGAGTCCATCCAGGAGAAAGAGGAAGTCTTGGTACTGTCGCTTGAACACCATTAAGCCAATCTCTTCGATCATGAAGATAAAGACTCAGAGGTATGCAAATTCAATTACCTTAATGGAGCTATCAGCCTAAGGCTATTCCTCTGGTGAAACAATTTAAATGCAAATAATCCACAAATCTCTCATCCAAGATAAATCCATCCAGTCAGAAAATATAATAATGTGGCTAGGTGCCCAATGTTCCTCTGGCTGCTAAGATGGAAGCAAATTAATATTGAAGACCACTTTAGAGTTGTGGTGATATAATGTTAATCAGATGATCTCTTGATATAATTAAAATACAATTGCATTCCCTTTGAAAGATTTAGGTAGTTAAGCAAGGGCAGAGATCAACAGTTTTACACAGTTATTTGTTCTAGTGAATTTAAGGATTTATTGGCTGAGTTAATAAATTGAGAAAATATTATGTTAAAATCTGTATCTCATAGCAACCAGCTCAAAAATTAACCAGCTCACAGTAAGCATCCATGAAAGGCTGCTTATCCTTGGTGGCAATATCTTCCATCATCTGCCCCTTGATCCATTGCTCTTCCCTCATGTTGTACTGATGACAATTGTCTTGGAAGTAGAAGGCTAGAGAGTCCAGCTTCATCAACTACAATTGCATTTGGGAAAGAAACATAAGATGAATTAACCTGGTTTCACAAACAATACCACAGGCCAGCTCAGAATTAAAGATTAAAAAAAAAATGAAGTGATTCTTCTGGTTCAAGATGTGTTTAGCACAACTTTCCTCACTTAAAAAAGAAATGGCCAAAGTAAATTGCACAAAATCACCTCTATGACCAGGAATTTTCATATAAAACAAACAAAAGCAAAAGTAATAATAGTCTCAGAAATAAAGTTTCACACCTCTGAAGCAAAACATTCAACGTCAATTAAATTCAAGTATCCCATTATATTCAATACTGAAAGGAGCTAATTTTGGATTCATAAATTGCCATGGCTAACATTAACAAATACCTAAGACTGACAAACCATAGTAACAACAGTGAAAATCTGGATTTCATATTAGCTAGGTCTACTCATAACAATGGCCAAACTGAAATGATAATTGACACTGGTGCTGGCATCCCTTTCAGACCTTGTGGATGAATTTAGTAGATTCTGAGGCAGTGCCAATTTCCCAGTTGGCATTAGTTGATTCCAGAGACAGATTTTCCAGCGTCACTCCCATGCAGAAGGGGTTTCCCGGGTGAGAGACGGTGTCTTCATAGCGGATGTGGATAGACCTAATCTTCACCTGGATATTTTTGATGATCTGGAAGGACAGCCTTTCCACAAAGGTTGCTTGGTCCTTGGACTGAGTGGAAGAATCTGTAACACATCCAAAGGAACTGAGTCAGTCATAATCACAGCGCAAATAAAAAAGTTGTGGAGTTGAAGACATTTAGAACACCTTCATATAAAGGATGGCAAAACTACTTTTTGTAAAAGGTCAACATTTTCACTTCCATTGAAAAATGCAATCATAATTGCCATGTGGAGATGTTAAAAATGTTGAAATCCATTTATTTAATTGGATCTAAAGGAACTTACCCTCAGGAGCAGGAAGGATGATACCTAGATACAAAACTCATAAAAATTTTTCTATCAAAATGGACCAAAATGAGAGCATTGATTTAACTTGATTGGAAAACAGAATGTCAACTTTGATGAATCTAGAATAAACTACCTGAAAAAAAAAGGAAAAATGAAGGGGAACTAAAAAAATCAGGAAAAAAAAAAAGAAGGGAAAAGGGGAAGAAGGGAAATACAATGTAAAGGAGACAGACAAATATACAAGACTGCAACTAATTTTTTTAATATACAGAAGGAAAAAGAAGAAACTCAGCAACAAAAGCAATACTTGACAGAGATTTTTAAAATGGCTGAAACCCATCTGAGAGAAACAGGAAGTGTAGCAAAGTAGGTTACATGGAAAAACTAGAATAAGACTATTTTTGAAGATATTTGTCAATTGGTTGTTCAAAGAAGTAATCATTTCAATGTTTTCTTCTTTCTATTTTTGTGTTCATTTGTAATATGACAGTGAAACCCATGCAGGATTGGTTTCAAAAATGGGACCCACCAGGCTGTGAGATTTTCCTCAGCCGTGCTGCTTCAATCTGATGGAGGATCTTCTCCTTCACCTCTTGTTGGTACTTCTCTTCTTTGGCAGCATCGTACTTCACACTCTTGGGTGCTGCCAAAAGGTGAAGCTGTTCAATTTGTGCAATGACAGGTGCATTGTACAGATTTGTCCATGGGATGCTTAAAATCAGCTTCCCTGAAAGGTAACAGAAGAGCAAGATTATCAATTGGTTCAAGGCGTAATATCTAGGGAAAACTTTTTTGCACAGAAAACTACCAAAATACATGCACATTATGCTCTGAAAGTACTTAAACAAGCTTTTGAATGTACAATTGATATGATCTTTGAAATATATTTTTTCAGTTAGTTTTAACAGCTTCAACCTTAGGTAAGTTCCTACTCATAAAGATGCTGAGATAATTGAGAGCTATTCCCCCCATTGGAATTTTAACAAGTCTGATGGGGCATGATATTATAATTACTTTTTCCTGCAAAAAAATTATGAGGACCAAATAAGTAGATGCAAATTTAGGGAAAACTGCAGTTGCTTGTTGAAAAAATCAGCTCCGAAAATAATTCCATAAGTGCTTGCTTCCACTTTCAGCACTTTCAGAGAACTGGCTAATTGATATTGTGGTAAGGGGGCCATGCTCATCCTTATAAGAGTAGGGCATTATAAAAATGCACTCTTAAAAGCAAGAAAGCTGTAAACTATGCTTTAGTAGACCACTAAAACACTATTAAAATATGCTCTTTCAAATCACTAAATTTTCTGAGACCAATGCCTTTCCTTTGATAAGGTAGGTGCAATTATCTCACTCTGTGCAAGATAGAAGAAAAAAAAATGAGTATACAGGTGCAATGTTCTAGATTTGGTTAAGGAAATCAAGAGACTTTTTTTGCCACAAGACTTGTTGCATTCAGTGTTCAAATAAGATAAGATATCTCTAACCCTCTGAAAGATAAGACCTTTTTGCATGAGCATATCCATCAACTGCCTAGCCAATACCATGAATTCTGCTTGCTCACAATCACAATCTAGTTTTAAAAAAAAAAGGGCAAAAGAATTCAAGAAAAACCTCATACATCTCACCTAGAGATCCAGAAATAGTCCTGATGGGAAGATTCAACTCTTGCAAAGCACTTTCCTTTAAAGTGAGGTCCTTCAGAGTCACATTCCCTTTCCATATACTCAGGTTCAACTGGGATGAATCCAAATTTTGAACATAATCCCCAAGGAATTTGTTCAGAAGGTCCACCACAATGGATTCAAACACCATATTTTCAGACCAGTGTTCTGACCAATCTGGAGTCAGAGCTGTACAATCCAAAAATCAAGGCAATACTTAGTTGCCTACAAGTAATTCATGATGCTCACTTTCAACCTGAAAAGACTGAAAATAATTTTAACAGAATCAAGTCATCTGATTGTTGTGACCAGTTGCTACTGTCTGTAGTTAACTCAACAGACCTGGCTGACTGACCATAACAAAACATCCTGTCAACCAATGAGTTAGTTATAATGACCAGATGGTGATGGCTTCAATATAGGAAATGCAAACATCAGCTCTGCAGTCTACAGCGGAACTGTACTCTGCAGGAGTACAATTTTTTTTCTCATGTGAATGCTAACACCCCAGTCATATTCCAGAATCTCATCAGAATATGTGAAAAGACTCAGGGGAAGATCTTAATTCTTCAATTCATTTTCTTACAATAGCATTTAATCTAATTCTCATTTTTTGAGTCCAGCTTCTTGTTCTTGTGCCTACGCCACACATTAAGGATTTCATGCCAATACACTTCAAAGCAGTAAATTAACTGTAAAAAAAAAGCTTGCATGGAAAACATTTTCCCAATGAATTATGTGTAGGCAGCACTAAAAACACTCCCTGAGTACTCAAATTATCAAACTGAATTATTTTCATGTATCCATGCAGGTATGTACCAATTGCAGTATGCTTGATGGATGCCTATCACATTTAGCTGCATCTACCCTAATAGGCCCATGATTACAAGAAAGTATTGGAAGTGACCAAGGAAATGCTAGAAGTTGCAAAGCTTTATCTATAGACCTGAAACTGTAGATCTCAAAGCCTTGTCAGCACTCCAGCAAGTAAGAAAATTCAAGGGTAAGGTGACCAGATGTCCTGGTCTTACCATAGCAGTACTGGTTTTTGAGGTTCTATCCTTGTTTGGAAGGCTTTTTTTTTTTGTTTTCAAGCCCAGCAACTTAAAACTGAAGACACAATTTCTTGGCTGCTATTCTCTGTTCCTTGTTCTTTGCTCAGTTGCAATCCTCTCCCCCTGGGCCTTCAACATAGATTGGAAGTAGCTGATCGAGACATTCTTACCTGCTCTCTGGTGTCCCACATTTTGAGCCAGCAAAGTGACTGAGTTAAAATTATAGACGTTTTGGTTCTTGCTGGAAATAATCCAGTCACTTTAGTCCATGGAACATGTGGTTTCTAGTGGGTCTAGCCTAGGTCTATGCAAGTTAGGCTACAGCCAATTCTTGGTGAGCTAAAACCACTTGAAATAGTTTAAGGAAATTACCATCAGGCTTTCCCCTTATACAGGCCTACTAAAGGCCAATTTTACTGAAATGGGAACCCAAACTGCAAGACTTCATGGGAATGTTAGAGATCTAGGTCAGCAATCTGCATAGGAAACAAATTTTTAATCTTTTCAGTCCCCAGGTTATGCATTCATTCTAAATAGATAAACAGGGCCTCACGTCTCCAGTCTCTCGTAACTAATACATAGAAGGAACAAAAGCCGAAATTGATTAGGCCTGCAACAGGCCTAGACGTTGAAGAAATCGTGATGGGGCAAAATCCAAGAGAATGATTGGCCTCTTGGAGACTGCACGCCCTTAACCCACGATCGCAAACGTAAGCAAAAAGTGAAGGTCAGAGATACCAGACCCTGACGCAATGCACCGAAGTCACACAGGCCAAACTGGTGACTCTTCCTGTGTGCCATGTGACATGTGCGGTCCCACAGGTCCGCGGGTCGATTGTACGTCCCGCGGGAATGTCTACTGGCCCGCGGGACGATCTACAGGGTGACCCAAAAGTCTGGACACATAGGTAATATTACTAATATTGTTTTTTTCCCCAGATTGAATATGAGTTTGTTGAAAGAAGAACGTATTGGATTTACTGCATCGTGTTCATGTGAATCTCGCAAAGCGCATCGAACTTTGTATCGCTAATGATGGGCGCCATGTTGAAAATGTTATTGAATAAAATTACTACATTTTCGCCTGTGTCCAGACTTTTGGGGCACCCTGTACTGGCCCGCGGGACGGTCTACCAGCGCGCTGTTCTACGCATCCGCGCTCATTCAAGCAGCAGAATTTAGAAAGCAGGAAAGACTTCCTGGTTATGAAAAAGCTGTTACTTTTTTTACTTCCTTTAACGTCCTTTCAAAACGCTCTCCTAATTGCTTTCATTTAATTGACGCCCTAAAGATTCGAGGATTCTGGATCATGTCGCGTAGGAACCTCTCAGCAGAGAACAGTTTCCGGAATGAATTCGCACCCCCCCTTCCCCATTCCCACAGGAACTCTTCCATCGATTGCAGGCAGGGCCATCCGCAAGCTCCGGAAATAGCTCTTCCTTTGATCCTCATCATCGGAGGGGGGGGGAGGATTAGGCCTAATTCGATCCGAAAATAGTGTAAGAGCATTGCAGGAGTTCTACGAATTATCAGTGGGTTGTAATGGACCGATTTGTAGGTAAATAGTAGGGCTATCGATCGATTGAAAAAATGTAATCAATTAATCGGTCGGTTAATAGAATATTAATCGATCCCTTAGTTCTTCCTTGAATCATGTCCGAGGCGTCGGGCATGATTCTGCTTGTGTCATGCCCAACACCAAGGCGAGCCTCAGGAAGTGACTCGAGGCGATGCAGTCGCTTCAACCTACATGTGGCATATTCCGATCGGAAAGAGAATAATTACAAATGAGCCAGATAAATAATGAAACGCAAGCAAAGAAGGGCAATGAGGCCCTTTCCCATTTAGCCAACCCACACCGGAATGTAACTTAAATGATTGGGGGTATAAAGGGGTACTTCATTACGCGGAGATTTTAAGATTCATTATCGACTCACGGGTAACAGGATGGAAGAGCAAAAAATACAGGAGCAAGTTAGGAACGGGAGAGGGTTTCACACTTTCTTTTCACTTCTCTCGCTTGCCCCGGCTTTCCCCCACTCCCGGTTACTTCATGGGGGCTCCCGCAGACCGTCGGTGCACTCGTACGCCTCTCACTACGCAGTACTCACTACCTCTTTCCTGCCTCTCCTGTCCCATGTCCTTGCCCGACTTCCTTCTTCACCTTCCCTGGCAGCTTCTTCATTACGACTTTCATTTCCCCATCCGCATCCAGTGACTTTTCAGTCGCTTCGCCCTAGGCCGCTGCTACCGCAGACAAGCGAGGTCTGCAAGGCTCTTGCCTTTAAAAGGCGGAAGGACATAGGATGCGTGCCAGTTCGCTCTTGGATGCGAATGGGCCAGCAAGCTTCTTTTTGGAATATTCTGAAAGCGATGGCTTAATTTTTTTGCTCCAAAAATAGTCAGTCATTTTTTAGCAGTGCGAAAAGGACTACTTTCTATGAGCCATCATTACATCTCATTCCCTTTATAAATCATTCGTTTTCGGTTGTTTTGCAAAACTATGAACTACACAAATTATGAGGGAAAATAAAGGCAATCAGGGGGAGATTGGGGTGTCGATTAAAATTAGATTAATTTTAATTAATTTATTTAATCGTGATAAATGCTTTATTCGATTAATCGGTCAATTAACCTAATCGAATTGGCAGCCCTAGTAAGTAGTATATCCAAAACTTTTTAACTCTAGAACTGCCAGAAGCAGCAAGGCGACTTACCATCGTCGGTTTTATCGCCGGTTGGCGATAAAATCTAGAATTTAGCATAAGAAATCTGACCCTCACGCCACTCTTGAATTGGAGTTGATGTACATGAGAGCCATCTCTCCGTTACCAATTCGGATGAGCTCCAAAAATTCCCATCGAATCCCTCTTTGTTCTCCTGGAGAGTGAGACTGGCTGCTCTTCAGCTGACTGAGTGGTTAATTCCCCGGTATGGCAATGAGGCACATGGATTAATGACGCGTAATTAATGAGCATGAAGCAAGTTAGCAGCAATGAGCAGCTTTGCACCCTTGATATAGATCACCTTTCCGTCAATTTTCGTCCCGAATCAAAACGAATTGGAATTGCAGCTCTCAAAAACGGCTAAAAAAATCATGAATAAATAAATATAGAACAGATGGAATATGGCGAACTAAAGCAGCGGATTCCCGTTTACAGGGTTCCGTTGCTCTTAATTTGCATAGAGCTTCGGTATATACAAAGTTAACAAAGTTCACCATTCGCCAATAATAGCAAATTGAATCTTGCTCTGAATTTGCATCTGGCTCGGCGATTCCTGCAGAAACCACGAGAAACTTTCGTTGAGATCAGGTCACAGGTGTTTTCTCTTTCCCGGAACCCCTTTTACTTTTTTTGGGCGGAAATCCCCAGTTGCATATATTTTGTCCTTTTCGTGTCGCAATTCCTCTCGAACTCATTTAGAACTTAGAGCGAGAGACCACATGATCACACACTTGACTACAAATTTAGAAAAAAAAACGTACAAAATCAAACTGGCAGTAGAAAAATATACATCTTGCAAATTATGAAGAAGTCAAAAGTCGCTTGAAGTTTAACCGTTTGCACAGTATTTTTTCGTTGAGATTGACATCTGCAATTTCTGGTGGCCACATGAGATGCTCACATGAGATGGCCACACGAGAGCTGGACCTTCCAAGTCGTGAAACGAGAGAGAATCGCGCGTTTGCCGGGAAACGAAATGGCAAAAATATCGTCTTCGGATTCCGTTCTGAAAAGCCCGACAGAAATCAAGGATCTGGAATCGATTTTGACGTTCTGGGGAATTTCAAATGAACCTCTTGCGAGAATTTTGTCCAGACGTACCTGAGCTTCCAAAATTCGGAATGACGATGACGCAGACAGAAGAATCGATTTTGCTTGAAAAAAAAAATTGTCACAACTGCGCGTTTCGGTCTAGAGAGAACCCAAGGCACCACACTGAACGCTGAATGCACCTGGCGTCTGTCCTCGTGAGAATTGAGAATGGCATCGACAACGATGCCATCTACCGGGAGGATGGTGCACTGCCTGTCCAATCCGGTCCAATCATGGAGCGTACAGTATATAGACGTCTCTGGAGAGATCTTCGCCGCCTCGAGACTTACAAGCGCTTCCGCCATCTCGAGAAGGTCTCGCACGCGGGAACGAATAGCGCGATTGGTTGGTTGAGTCCCGGCGTGGAGGCCCTCAGGCATATAGCCTGGGGCAAGTTCCCTCTTTTGCCCTCCCCCCCTCTCCATGTGTCTTCTATGAACTCCTTGCTCGTGCGACATCAGTAAGACGGCGACCGCGCCAGAGGGGAGGCCCCTCCGTTTATACACTCTCTATGGGTTCAATGGCCGCAAGTTCATTCAAAAATAGGGAGATGTCGCTAGTGTGCACGCACCATCGGCACATCCTCGAACACTAGCGCCATCTCTGTAATTCGAATGGAAGGTCGCCCGACCTCCGATTTCTTCTAATGGAGACCCGAGAGATGATGCGTTTGGTCGTAACAACTGGGGCCATCATGGCCTCCACTTCATATTTGTTCAAAATGTGCGAGTGAACATGTCTGCTCGAGAAAAGGCAACAAAGCCTTGCAATTTTAAAGGAAAATACAATATAGAATCAGCCTATAAAGGGAGAGGGGAAGGGGGGGGGGGGGGACCGAATGAGGGATTCTACTCGACTCGACGAAGGGATCTTGATCCCTTCTCATTTGAAAAATCCCTAAACGCCCCGCTGAACCCATTGCACCCCTGTCGCGGAATTCCAATTCCCGATGCCTCGGTCCTTGAGCTTCGCGTTGGATTCGAGAGAATTGCATTCGACGGAGAAGGCTGACAGCATCGGAAAACAGCAACAAAAAAAAAGCTCGGATTATTCTCTGTCATGACTAATGGAAATGCGAAATGAGATGTTGCGCCAAGTTTTGCATGTTTGGCATTCACATCTCAAATGAGCAAATTCTTATACAGGGTACGGCACGAAAAATGTCCCTAATTTCGAAAGCTGCTAAAAAAAAAATTCTTATAAGCGATATCGGTATGGGAGACATACTGATAAATAGGAAAACTCTCCAAGTTTTATCTGATTGCGAAATATGCTCAAAATGACCTCTCCGAAGGTCAGCACACTCGCGAACGCGCAGGCCACAATTTCTTCAGCTCGAAGAGCTTCACGTTCAACTGACGAAACGACTCTCGTTATCGCATCCTTCAAAAAGCCTAATGCATATACAAAGAGATAAAGAGACTTTCGATCGAGCGTGAAACTCTTCAAGCGAAAGAAACCGTGACCCTGCGCGTTCGCGAGTGCACTGACCTTTCGAGGTCATTTTGAGCATTTCGTGTGATCAGATAAAACTTTGAGTTTTTCTACTTCCTATACCGATATCGCATCTAAAAAAATTTTTTTTTAACAACTCTCAAAATTAGATAAATTTTTGCGCCGCGCACTGTATGAGACCATCAGGAATTTGAATAATTTAAAACGAATTTTGCGTGAAATGTTTCCACGAGGTGAGCAAAAATGATTTTTCTCCGCATTTTCTTTCAGCATTGCACTTCTCCAGGCATCGAACGGAAAATCGTCGGTTGACCGATGTTAAAGGTCAAAAGTGTACTGCTGAAGCGCAATGGATTATCCTCTCTAATCCCTTTTCGAGAAGCTGTCGATGAGAGTCGATCTGCTTCGCGCTGAACTCGAAAGGAAAAAAAAAATGGCGGAAGGGATCCTTTAACTTCCCGTCGGCAGACGAGAACAATCGCGGTTCGCGCGCAATCAATCCTGATTTATTCACGTAATCACCCTGAGTAAATAATAAATATGAGCCGAAAGTAAAGAGAGTGCCACGAAAGCCGTTCGATTTCATGCGACATCGATTCCGAGAAATGGCCATTACTCGTTTGCGTCGCTCGTTACGTTCCCGGGAGGAAAAACGGAGCGATTGTTCGGAGACGATTATTTGATATTGCCGGATTTCCAGGAGTGATCGGTGCCATCGACGACTGTCGCACTCGAGCACTGTCGCAATTGACAACAGTTGGCCCGGCCAACTGTTATCAATTGACGTCACGACGCGAAAACCGCACGCGGTTTTCGGATCTCATTTCGCAATCGTGCCCAAATGAAGTTTCCATTTCCCCCCCCCCCCATTTCCGACTTCTCTGTGCGTGCAAAACGAATCCTCGGCGGTTACCCCCGAAGTATTAAAATGCAGAGTAGGGTCGGAGAACTCACCAGTTTTCAGGCAGGATTGTTCTCGTGCAAGGAGAGTGCACCGTGTCTCTCTTTTTCACTCGATTTCGTCCTCTTTGCGGGATCCGAAGTGTATTGAGAAAAAGTAGACAGCGGTAAACCGATATTTTCGCAGACGATGTTTAAACAATGGTTATCGATAATCAATGGCGACTCGCCAGGGTAGACCCAGTTTAAAATCCTCAAACTATTATTTGCTAATTCATTTTTCAAATAACACAGCTGAAAATACTTTTTCCCATTCAAGGCAAAATCAGACTTAGATTACGTGTCCAGAGCAGGCACGGCGTTGCCATGTCTGTCTAGGCTCAAATCCCCACGAATCCAATGCAGCCACGAGAAGAGGGAGAGACGGACGAAAAGAGGGAGAGACGGACGAGAAGAGGGAGAGACGGACGAGAAGGCTTCCCTACGTTGCGTGGCGACTTCCTCGCGCAGGGCGGTAAGGATGAGAATCGCTTGCTCACGCCCTCCGCGCTTGTTGGGGCCTCGACTGTCGGATCGGACCGGTTTCGGTTCGGGACAGGGTCGGTTGTCACGTCTACGGGATTTTCATGCAGATTGAATGAGGAATCATTCCGGGACAGGCTTCTATCAGTCCCAGGGTCCCGGCTCCCCTTCCTTACCCCGCTACGGTTGATGCTCTCTCATGGAAGAGGCACGGTTTCACAGTGATAAGTAATGTTAAGGCAGTGATTCGCATCCCTAGGATGTCTCCCAATGGTATAATTGTATAATTTCATTCATCGAAGGCTTAAATATACCAAACTTTTCCTGTTTGCAGGGTCGGATTAAGAAGTTGGGGGCCCTGGGGCAAGAGGATTCTTGAGGCTACCCCCTCCCCCCCCCGGCCGGTTCTTACGCAAATATTTAACGCTTTTAATTTCCTTCGGGGGCCCCCTGGAAGAGTGGGGCCAGGTGCAATAGCCCCCTTTGCCCCCCCCCCTTAATCTGGCCCTGCCTGTTAGATGCAAGCAATTTCTTTGACGGCTAGTTCTGATTGTTAGAAATAGATTTACAATTAATGAATGTAAAAATCCTAAACTTTAATGTCAAACCCGTAGCCAAGAAGGGGGGGGGGGGGCAGTGAGCGAGGTAGAGAGAGGGGCGAATATGTACCTGCTACAATCAGAGGGGAGCGACTCCCCCCCCCCCATGCGCCACTGCTGCCTACCCAGTTTTTTTACCCACAAGCCGCCACTGTCGATAATCAGTGTTTAAAATGAACATCGTGCATGCAATCGGCCGTGCATCTCCGCGTCACCAAGAGCCAGAGAAACACTCGCAAGCGCTAGACGGATGGAAGGAAGCACTTCGCGACGTTCCTCTCCGCACTGCGTCTTTCCCTCCGAGTCGGGGCGCCTCGCCTCTCCTCTGCAGTGTTGCCGGATGGTCGGGCGCGATTCCCGTCCCTGTTCGTGTTTGAATTACTCTCGATGTTCCGTCGCTGTTGGTCTCAGCCGATTTTGATTTCATGATTTCCGCTAAATCCGAACGCATGGCTTTAAAATTGAGAACATTTTTCTTCTTTATATAAATTATGCCCAAACTTTCACTTTAATCCGCGCAGAATGCACCAACTACACAGGTTTGAAAAAAAAATAATTCCATATTTTCCATCCATGATTAAATCCAATGATTTCTTATTTTAATGAGTATAACTCCTATGCACCGCCTGCTCACATTATTGTCCCAAAAACACAAAAATTGTTCACAAAGTTTTCCTGGCTTTCGACCGCAAACGCCTCCTTCTAACGGCAATTCTTCCAATTCTTCCTCCACTCTCATAACCGTTCTCCCGATTTCTGACTAGTGAATAAACGCGAACTGGAGAAGCTGCGTGCAATCCGAACGAGACGTTTCCATCCCCCCACAATAGAAGAGACTGGATTCGGCCGGATTTGGCCGGATTCGGCCGGATTTGGCCGGATTCGGCCGGATTCGGCGACCCTAAGGGTTAAATGCGTCTCGTGATGGGGATTCAAATGAAAGAGCTTCAAAATGATCTGAGTTGATATTTAAAGCTGGGAAATTTGAAATTCCTTTGAAATTCCTTTGCCAAAATCCCCAACCCAAATTTTTCTTGCGCCAAAATAAAAACTTCAAAAAAATATAAACAAAAATAATAATTTTGAGGAAACAAAGGAAAACCGATAAATATACAAACGATATCACTTTATATACAGTATTTCCCGAACTACTGAAAGCGCGCAGCCAGGAATTACTTCCGGGTTGTCTTGTGAGGCTGAATACTTTTTTTTTTTTTTTTTACATGAAAAGAGCTAAGGGTCAAGGACTGACCTTGAATTAGTCATAATTCAGTCGGTGAAAGCCACTCCAGAATTTTGGTTTGCTACTGGAACTAAAAAACAATAAAAAGTACAAGTCGAAACTCCCAATTGCAAATGAAACTTTTCACCCCCGCCCCCACTGCCCCCCACTGCCCCCCACTCCCCCCCACTGCCCCCCACTGCCCCCCACTGCCCCCCACCCCCATCCCAGCAAACATTCTAACAATCAGCGTCGTATGAACGTTAATTTTTTAACCTTCCCGGTGTTTGGTTGGCGTTGCAGCTAACAGTTGCAAAGTCACTCATCGGAACACTCAGATGAACGTTGAAGTTCAGCAGTGGCTGAACGTTGAGCTGACATTTCAATGTCACTTATTTGAGCCCTCAACACCATTCTAATGTTTGGTCAATAATGAAATCAATAGTTTAAATTTTCTTCTGAAAGTACAAATCTTAGTACTTTACAGGAAATGGCCATCCTCCCTCCTAACTACGGCGAATAGAGCACTGTATATGGATGAGTTTAAAGAAATTCTTATTTTAAATCGATTTCAAAGTGGGGGTGCGAGGGTTTCTCGTAAGGAGTATGAGCTTGCTTATTGCTTGGGCTCCATGTTTCTGTCTCGAATATATGGATAATAAATTAATACGTGTCCGATTTTATTAATTATTATAATGAGGCAAGGAAAAACATACGCTGAGGTAATAAACACTCCTGTGAGGAATGTTTCCATGGAAAGAGAATAGTGTACTTTTGTGTACCGTGTAAAAAGCGAAACCCGTGCTTCCATCTAGCGGGCAAGATGAGAACTTCAGCACTTCCTCAAAATTAACTCCGCCATGGATATTGGGCACATTGGATCATCGCGTCAGTCTGATATTGCATCGATGATGAAATGGCAAAATTGGGAAGTCCAATTGAGCCAATATTGAGCCGGTATTGAGCCAATATTGAGCCGGTATTGAGCCAATATTGAGCCGGTATTGAGCCAATATTGAGCCGGTATTAGCAATAATGGCAAGATGCAGGTAGACATCGTGCCCAATGTTGGTCCAGCATTCACCCAATATCTGGCATTACTGGGGTAGTAATACTGGATAGGTGCTTCGTCGTTTTGCAAAAAAAAATGTTTTTCCCTATTTGGCGATGCATATTCCATGATACTACCATAAATATTATTTTAAAATGCGATTTAAGAAGGTATCATAATGCCATAACACTGCTACAATATTCACACAACGTTGGTCTTCGATCTTCAACGTCGATGACACTGTATTGACTCTGGGGGAACGTCCCCACAACGTTACTATGTTTGCTGGGATGCTCCTTGCTTTCATTTCCCAGGGCAAACCGCCTGGCAATGTCCCTTACTATTACATTACTTTTTTGTCGAATTATTCGTCGTAGAATGCGGAGAAATGAGAAATGGCTTAGCAAATGGCATTAGGAGACGGAAAAAATATGCCGTCGGCGAAGTTCAGCGTTGAGCAAAATGATTTGGCATTTGCAAACATGCAAAATTGTCAAATTTGCTGATATTGCAGAAAACATTTAATCGATTTGTGTAAATAGTTCCAAGTTTGTGAGAAATAGTTAACTGCATTTCTAATTGAAAAAGGAAAACGAAATCGATTTCGAGTGCCAGCCCAGATTTCACGTCGACATTCGTGTCGACATTCGTGTCGACATTCGTGCCGACATTCCTCGTGACAATGTGTTTGGCCAAATCGAGAAATTCAGAGTTGTGCGATGCAGTAGGAAAAATGACGGTGTCGTCGGCGCATTTTATCATGACTGTTCTAGACGGAGGAACGAAGTTGGTCAGAATGGTATGTAAATTACAGATGTGGCAACACTGCTCCCTGAGGAAAAACTTTTGCAAAAAAAAGTTTTGGCGAAGGAATCCTAACCTTTGGAGCAATCTATGATGAATATTGTCCAGTTCCATCAGGCATTCCATGTGTGCATTTATATCGAGGTACCATCAGCCATCCCGATTCTTCATTTTTCGTGTCTCTCATTGGCTTGGCAGACCTGAGGAAGGAAGAAAGGCATTGGTGCTGCCATGGAGCCCGCGTGAATATTGCGCAACACTGTGAAATGCGACCAATATGGCAGAACGCGTGCAGTCGGCTTCCAAGCGTAGTTGTGAAAATGTTCACTTCCAAACGAACTCGTGGCGCCTTTAATACTGAGCATGGTGTTTCTGTGTTGCATGCAAGGAGGGAAAGGGACTGATGCACAGAATTAGACGGACTGGCGAGTGACACTGCAAACATCATACATTTTGTGTGCAGTACATGATAGGATTAGGCTTACTAGGCGGCACAAGATGCGTATCAGAGTGAACGAATCCATGAACTGAAACGTAGGCAAAGGCTTAGTGTCATTAAAATTTCAATCCATGTTTTGGCTTTTCCTGGAAGAATTGATACGTTTTTGCTTTCCTAGCCAGGTTAGAGTTATATGGGTTAACAGTGCCATTATTCCGTGGTGTAGAATCATTGAAACTATAAAGTGGCATGAAATTTAGCAGATTTGTTAATCCACCATCGGATGGTGGCCTAACTGCTGAAATACATGTGGTTCACAAGAACTAATTCATTTTAAGTTGATTAGACATAATTTCCCGATGTGCTGGGGATTCTCAAATGAAGCGCCAATGTGACTTTTAAAAGCATAGTGAGAAAAAAAAAAGGAAGTACGAATTGAGTGTTGTTGGCCTGGAGGGGGGGGAATAGATTCCTCTTTTCATGAGAGTCCCCATAAATAGAGGAATCTTTCAACACTGTGGACTGTGCTTTCCTAAGCTCTTTATGTTTTCTGGGCCCTTCAGCGTAGTGTACCTGCCCTTGATGGGTAGTGTGAATTTTCAAGCATGGGAAAATTTTCCTTTCATCACAACATGGTTATGCTTTCTTCATACTAATGTAGCCCTTTATTTCAGATATTTGGATACAAAGGTCTCTTACAGAAGCACAGCATGACTGTGAAAGATAAATATAACCCTAGATGCTTCTTCGACATTGAGATCGGTGCAATCCCAGTCGGTCGAATCGTCATTGAGCTGTATCAAGATGTCTGCCCAAAAACCTGTGAAAATTTTCGCTGCCTCTGTACTGGAGAGATGGGTTTGGGGCAGAAGACTGGGAAACCCCTGCATTACAAAGGCTGCCAGTTTCATCGCATTGTCAAGGATTTCATTATTCAAGGTGGAGACTTCAGTGCTGGTAATGGCACAGGTGGAGAATCCATCTATGGAGGAACATTTGCAGGTAGGCACATTTAAAGTCTTAACTTATTTGGTGATGGCTTACTTCCTAATCTCATAATGGCTCATGTGCCAAGTATATCTCAGTACTAATGCAGAGTGAAACTTTAAGCTGGTCAACATCATATCTACCTCCTTAAATTAACTTTGATCGGATTGCATAAGTGTGTGTGCGTTTGTACTTAATTGTATATATTTTTTATTTTAAAGGATATCAGCCATCAGCTGGGTAGAGATGGTCAGTAAAGGTCTTATCTGCTCTTTTACTTCAAGGAGGGTAAGGGAGGAGAATGGCTTTACCTTGTAAAAATATTAAAATCCAAGAAGTAGAAGACAGGGCAAATGATAAGATACTGAATTGGAAAATTCAGCCTCCAATCACAGTGTAAATTTCCTTTGTCAACTGTGATTTTCAACAACAAATAAAATATGGTGACCTAGGGGTGAATTCAACAAATGCTTGAAGAGCTGAAAAGGGGGCTGATTTCACATTGTCCTTAAACTGCTATCTACTTGAAAGGATACTACAGTAACAACTTCACTGGTAGCTGACTTCCTTGGTCTGTGTATCTTGAAATCATAAGCATTTGAGTTGGAAGGTCTGGGAAACCCGATGGCTAGCAAATTTGAATCCAAATCTGAAGCTGCATCAAAAAGTGGGTGGCAATTTGTATATTGATTTTTCCAGTCCTGTTGTAAATATTGAAATATCCCTCTCATTATATAGTACAGAAGTTGATATGGGCTAGGGATGCTTGGATTGGCATGTTCAGACATGGTGGAATTTTAACCCACTCTTCCTATTATGTCTCTATTGCAGATGAGAACTTCAAGCTGCGGCATGATAAGCCATTCCTCTTGTCCATGGCCAACAAGGGCAAGGACACCAATGGGTCTCAGTTCTTCATGTATGTTTGCCTGGAGTTTGTTGCCATCAGTCCCATGATGAAACTAAGTTTGAATCAGCAACATTACTGTTTCTGGATCTGTCCTCTACCTGAATACTGTGGTTCACATAATGAAAGTTCAAGTTTTTCTATGAATTTTCGTAGGAATATGCAGGTTCTTTGTTAGGGTTATGTAATTGCTCTTTATTTCCCTTAGTTAGCAGCCAGGCTTGTATATAGATCCCGAGGAATGATATGGTTTTGCTTGTCTTTCTCTCTTTCTTTTCCCATTTCCCCTGGGTGGCAATTTTGTTAGTCATCAACCAGATGATATCTTGTAGTTCCTCCTCTTGTATCTTCCACACAGAACCACCAAGCCGACTCCGCACCTCGACGGGTGAGTGGAGTGGCTTCCTTTTGTTCCCTCTTCCAATTGGAGAGACCATGGGTTTCATGTAGCATCTTATTTGTGTGGTACAGGGTTCATGTGGTGTTTGGAAGAGTGATTCAGGGCCAGGAAGTGGTGTCAAAAATTGAAGACCTGCCGACAAACCCAACCAACAGCTGCCCAACGATTGAAGTGACAGTTGCCAACTGTGGGGAGCTCATTCGGGTTCCCAAATCTAAGGACAAGTCTGGTAAGTTTTGATTTTCTTCTCTATTGCTACACTCCTTAAGTGTTGAACTTCAGCATCAGTTTCTTTTTTTCAAAGGCAAGGAGGGCGAAAAGAAAAAGAAGAGGAAGAAAGAGAAAGAAGAGAAGAAGAAGAAGAAGAAAAATAAGAACAAGGAGAAAGAGAAGGACCGTGATAGCCGCAAAAAGTCTGTCCTAAGCATTGTCATTTCATATAACTATCCCCTCTTCAATCATTTGCCATCATCATTTGGCCCTTGTTTTAATCTGTCATGGTCCAAAGTCAAGAGACTCAGTTTCTTTTCAGGGGAAAGAGTGAGAAAGAAAATACGGTGGATGAGAAGATAGAAGGTCATGAAAGTGAAGAAGAAAGTAAGCCTGAGAAGCCACACCCCCTTGTCACTGTCACTGAAATAGATCCTGATGAGATTCCTGAAATCCCGCCTAACAGGTGTTGTCATATTCCTGCATATTTTTTCTGAAAAATTTTGTCTTAAATTGTTGGGATTTGAGATTCACTGAATGTTTTCAAGCCTGGCCTTTCCCATTTCTCCATTTATCCAGGTTCTTGATGCGAAAGACAAGGGAGGAATTGGAGAGGGAGAAAAAGGAAAAGGCAGGTGAGGTGGAAGAAGGGGAAGTAGAAGCCAAGGAAGTGACTGTAGATAAAGATGGACAGAAGACTAAGGAAGATGTGACACCGGAAAACCAGAGGCAAAAGAAGAGTCGCTATCGAGGATTCACAAAGAGTGGTCGGCGTATCAAGGGCCGAGGACACCTTGTGAGTCACTCGTCTTCCTGAGATCATATCTGGTTTTTGTTTAAAAAAAAAAAGAGCTCTTTATCTTATTACTTCATTTCCTGCTTCAGAGATATAGAACACCTTCACGCAGCCGTTCTCGCAGCCGAACCCCACCTCACTGGAAACAGGCACAGAGCCGGGTTATATCCCTTTCTGAATATCAAGTGAGTCCATGAAGTGTGAATGCAGTGATGAGAACAGTTGTTGGACTAGTTACTTTTATGCATGAAATAGGCAGTGGAATCGGAGCTGCGACGCCGGGAAGAGGATCGTCGGAAACGGCACGAGGAGAGGGCCAAGCGGGATGCAGAAAAAGCAGAGATGGAACGGCAGCGGAGGGAGAAGGAGAGGGAAGAGAGAGCCAAGGACGAAGGAGGGGAGAAGGGGAGTCGCTCTTCACAGTCTCAGCAGCCAGAAAGCAGTCGTTCTAGGTACCGTTTCTCCCCCCCCCCCTTGCACTTCATGGGCTCAAACTTTTATTTTGTCCAAGTTTCAGCATCATGGATGATGCAGGTAGTATAGACATGAGCATGAAAAACGCACTTGTCACGTAAATGAGCTGCAAGCAGTCGTATTGTTCCTGCATCCATTAGCCAAAGACTTGTGGGGGACTACATACATACTATGGTAAATAACAAAGACTAGATGGATATGTTTCTAACATATCTTCATGATTTATGACAAATTCATTTCTCCAAGGCAAGGCCATGAGCAGTGAATTAAAGGAAGCTGGATAATCAAAGTGGACATGAGCTCATGTTGACAGTGACCCTCTTTTTTATGTAAACAAATAAATGGAAAAGAGTATGTTCATATTTTATTCAGGTTCTCCCTTAGTATTCATTGGCAAATGAGGCACTCAAGAGAGTCCCCTGTTCATTTTGAATTTCTGATTTATTTTTTAATTATTTCTGATGGTGTTTTACTTCTATCAGTTTGGATGAGATGGAATGAGAATGTTGCAAACATATTATTCTATGCATGTTTCTTGAAAGTAGTTCCAATGAGAGCAGAGCTATCCAAGTTATAAGTTATTGGTCTAATCTTTGCCATACCTTGTGCATTCGTAACAATTGTACCGAAGCAGTAAATATGTATTAATGGCAATACGGGGCTTGATTTAACTAAATATTATTAATTATCAAAGTATCAGAATTTCTCTAGTTAGCCGAGGGAAAGCCTTCTTTGAACCAGTTCGCGTTCTTCCCATCAGGGAGAGAAGCACACAGAGACGCCGCCGTCGCTTCAAGGAGGACCCCAGGGAGAGTTCCTCGTCGTCCATGGAAGAAGGGGAAGTCGAAAGGGGGAAGGGAGGCCTGAGTTCGATCCCCCAGCTCTACAGCTCGAACGACGAGGACGAGGAGCCCAGGCCCAAAGAGAGGAAGGAGAAGATTCCGGGCTTGGACGAGGAGGAGGAGGATTACGGTGGGAGGGAGAGGGAGAAGGCGTTGGTGTCGGAGATCTTCGTCCCCGTTCACACGACGTTGACCCTCGGAACCGAGAGCAAGAATCTCAAAAGTCGGAGGTTTAAGGAGATTCCGGATGAAGTCGTGCCCGTATCTGAGGAAGTCGTCAAGTTGGAAGACGTTCCCCCGGTTCCCGACGAAGTGGTGGGGCAGTCGGACGACAAGGACGATGACGTGCCGTGCACCCAAGACGAGAAGGAAGCACCTCACCCTCAAGATTGGAATGGCGCAGGTAATTTCCAAGGGCAGAACGATCTCGATCGCCCCAAAGTTCAGAATGACGCGGATCTACCCCAAGACAAGAACGACGCGGATCCTTCCCGAGACAAGAACGACGCGGATCAGGCCCAAAGCCAAAAGGAAACGGCTCATCCCCTCGGTCAGAGCGACACCTCTCGCTCTCGAGATCGCAACGATTCCTCTCGAGATCGCAACGATTCCTCTCGAGATCGCAACGATTCCTCTCGCTCCAGAGGTCAGAAGAATGCCTCTCATTCCTACGATCGGAACGACGGCTCGCATTTTCGCGATCGAATGGACCCATCGCGCCAACGAGATTGGAGGGTCGCGTCTCGACCTGGAAATCGAAACGACAACGCCTTTCGCTCGCGGGACTGGAGAGACGCGCCTCGGTTTCAAGGTCGGAGAGACAGGGTTGCCCCCAGGTTCAAGGACCACCCGCGATCCCGCTCCCGCGACAGGCGCTCGCGGTCCCGCGACCGACGCCCGAGTCGCCGCTCTCGCAGTCGATCCCCGAGGAGGAGGGATTCCCGTCGACGACGTCGGCGATCCTCGTCCTCCTCCTCCCGATCGAGCGACAGCAGCGGCAGCCGAAGTAGCAGTAGCAGCAGCAGCAGCGGGAGTCGGGATCGCGGGCGCAAGAGGCGCTCCCGCCACAGTCGGTCGCGCTCCCGGTCCGGCGTCCGGAAGCGAGGTCGCTCCCGCTCGGGATCGGCGATCAGGAAGCGCGGTCGCTCCCGCTCTTAATCCAGACTCCTTGTACTTCTTGCTTTGTGAGTTACGATCCACTTTGTCCTTTTCATCCAGGCGATGTAGCTGATGCTAGACTCAATAAAGTGTAAGGTTAGTACAGAAGAGATGCTTATTTTGTTAGCTGTTCTTGTCTGTGCAGGTATTGTTGAAAGTTTTTCGTCTCATATTTTAAATACCGGTTACTGAAAGAAGACTGTCTTGTACAGTCTTTAAAGGGGGGGGGGGGTGGGGGGAAGGGGGGGGAGGGAGGGGGGGGTTGGGGGCGAATTTCAAGGAGAGTGCAGTGCGCCACATTTTCTTTGACATGTATTCGAGAAGAGGCTGCATTTGATCCCATCTCTTCGAGGGCTGTCACAATGGCAGTTTTTCAAACAGCGATTCATTGACCCGATGCATCGATGGTGAAATAGATGGAAAGGACAAAAAAAAAATACAGCGGAAAAAGGGTGTTGGCTTTGTATCCGGCCTCGATTAACGATATGAGAAAAGCGCCTTTTTTTTTTGCCCTTGGGATCCACGGAGATGAATTTATTCCCTCTCAGTTGCAGTCAAGACTGAAAGGAAACGGTTTGTTTACATTCTCAGGGAGCAATGAACGTTCGTTCTTTGGATGCCTGAAAAATCACCTACATTCATTTCAAGGACGGAGGGGACCTCAAGGACGCAGCAGCCCGACTGCTACAAACAGGGAATAATATATTCTTTTCCCTCCCAGTCGCAGAAGTGCTTGGATCAACCGGGCGAGTGTTTTGAAGATGTTGAAGTATATACGTGTGAAGTTTCTACTCATTCGACACTAGGTATTTTTTAAATGAAGTCATTCCGGAAACTTTTGGAACGCTCCTCGTACTTCACTGAATTCTTGCGAAATGAAGTTGGAGTGAGATCTGCGTTCAGCCGACAAATTGAAAGGCAGAAAATGTCTGGATTTTTTTTCCAATGCTCAGAACGAGAGAGGGGAATTTCTTGCATTAAAGCATTCCATGCAAAGATGGTATTGGGACAAAATTTGGAAAAGTGTTCAGTGGAAACAAGTAGACATCTCAAGTACAAGCTTCAAATAAAGTTTATTGTAAGATGTACAGAAAAAATCATATAATACAAGATACAATTGAGAGGTTCAGCGAAGAGAATATCCAGGATTACATGCAAATGAGGGGCCGTGTGAGTCATGAGCCAACTGATTCTAGTCCATCATTCAACATGATCATTTACAAAAATAGATATATATGTCAAATAAAAAAAACCCACAATTTCTGCCCAGCTTGTAGCAATGTCAGGTTGATCGAGATGAAAATGGGGGTATGTACACGGGAAACGATGGTTTGTTCAGAGTGGTCGCATACATGCACATTGGTTCCAGCAATGCATCAGGAATAAGGTTTTTTTTTTTTTTTTCCCTGTGCCAAACTATACTCATCTTGCAATCGTTCCATCTAAAAACGAAAAACGCTGAAGAAAAAAATTTTTAAAATTAATCTTGGCATCAACAACCATCTGTCCATATTGTCATGTTAAGAGAATTTTCAACTAACACCTGAACCATGGAAGACTGGAACAAACAGTAATATTGTGCGCATATCCCACCTCTGAGGGCATTGGGAAGATCATAAAGTCCATCAAAAATAGGAATGCTCAGGTCCTCAATGAAGCAAAATACATACAGCTTTGATTTCTAAGACAAATTATAGTGTCACAAAGATAGCTTTGCCTTCCATGACATCATGTAGGCCTGGCACAAAATTACAGGAAATTCACAAGAGTATGTGAAGCATGACAAAAAAAATACTGTACCTTTCATAAAGACTGTACAAGACAGTCTTCTTTCAGTAACCGGTATTTAAAATATGAGACGAAAAACTTTCAACAATACCTGCACAGACAAGAACAGCTAACAAAATAAGCATCTCTTCTGTACTAACCTTACAACCAAGTGAGCATTTCTAGAGTTCTCCGACTTTCCCTTAATTTCCTTTCAGAATACACAACAATAAACGAGGGCCATGTGAATATTCCTGTGTCAAACGTGTTTAACGAGATTCGCTCGACTGGCAACTAGTGGACGGTGTTTGGCGGGAAGGCACACATGATCACAGCCGGTCTTTTTTTCGACTCTGAGCCATGCCCTTAGTTTCACAAATTATTTTCTAAAAATCTTTTCCCTATCACTATGTAGAATATGTGAGAGGGTGTTAGTACTGAGTCCAGAAGCACCATGGGCATGAAATGAGACAAGGGAAAGAGCAATGATAGACTGAGATGAAATGCACTGATGGAAACAGAAGGCTGATAGGTCGATGGCATGGGACATCAGTTGACAGGTTCGACGTAATTGGCCGGAAGCATCCCGCATTCCCCGGTCCGCTGCACTGTTCCTGTCATCCATCCTTCATCAATTTGCTGGCAATTTATGATCAGATCCCCATCCATGAAGCTCACTTCATCTGCATCCCCAGCAGAGTAGTCATACATTGCTCGATAGCAACGCTGCAAGAAAAACCAATAACTTTTTTTTCTTTTTGTTTAAATAACTACATTCAAAATGAAACACCCCAAACCCCACTCTATAACTCTTTGGTCCTTCATGTAACTTCTCAGGATTATTTAAAAAGTAAATAAATAATGCACAAAAACAGAGTATGAATGATGGGGAGCTCACTCCATAGCTCTGGCCTGGAGACTGTTTGGGCGGTGATCGACTCTGCATGTACGCATGGCCTGGCTGATGATGGTGAGGAGGCTGCTGTGGTGGAGGCCCATGGTAGGATGCACTTTGAGCATATGGATTCCCCCTTGGAGGACCTCCTCCACGAGGGTAATGCTCTGTCTGCGGGTGGGTGTATCCTTGGTACGGTGTTGCCACTGACCCATATTGGTTGTTCAATGGGTCATAGTCCACAATGGATCCAATGTGTCGATCGCCTGTTGGTTGTTGAACTGCAAGAACATCCCATGGAAATGCTCAATTCATGTAGAACTAAAGTTGTCATATATTATGCCTGATGAAAAATGCATGAACTTTGCAGTCACTCTGATTTCCTGGCATTTTACATCATTCTAGCATGTAAAGAATACTACCATAAAATTGCTTGTGCATTTGTCATGGCACCTGATGCAATTCAAATATTTGAATCATGATATTTTTCAACTGAATTTCAAGTTTCTTACATGATTCTGGATAATGTTATAAGACTCGCACTTTGAACTGAAACTCATTCTAAGAACCATTCTTGCATTTTGACACCACATTAATGAAACCACGACCAGGGTTACCAAGGAAACAGGAATCTTCTGCACGGGTTTCTCACACCCCAACACTTCAGGGATGACTCACCGGGTCCTTGCTGGGAAGTATAGATGATAGTGGAAGCACTCTGGCGGCTACTGGAATATGGGCTCTGGCCTTGGGAGGTCATGTGACCTGTGTCATATGGGACCTTGCTTGGAGATACAGTACGCTGCTGGGGTGGAAGGACCTGCTTTGGAGGCGGCTGCTGCTGGGGTCGACTGATCTGCTGTGGTAGTTGGCTGCCTGTGTCAACTGCAACAGAATGCAACTAATTACACTGAAGAATTACACCAGATCATGGGTTCTGATGAAAAGCATTGGATTAGAAATATTGGATCGAAGCATTTTTTGTCTGACTTTGAAATAAGATACAAAATGAAGCCAAACTCAATATCAACAGTAAGAAAGCTGGATAAATGCTTGTAATATAAAACATTGAAGCAATTTTAGTTTACTATGTCAAAAGATCTTGAAGAGGAATACTAAATCAATTTTAATATACTTTCCACACAGAACAGTTCAGTCTAGTCCCTCTTTTTGCAGACCAGCTGGATTCAAGAAAATGTTTCCAATGCAATTTCCTTTCTGAAAAATTAAAGCTATGACACTCCCTTCTGAATGACCTGCACATAAACACATCAAGCCATTATTTCATTGCTTTTCTGGGAACAGAAACAACACTATTGCATCCAAAATCTAGTTGGAATACTGTTCAGTCACTTCACACTCCACAGCTACTCTATGCATCACAAGATGCTATATCTGCTACAATTTCAATGCATGACTTGCCCTCTGATAGGGGAAGCACATGTAAGAGGACCAATATATTTAAAAATTTAGGAATTGATGTCAAATTGCTATAAAACAACATATCCCATTAACTGTGATATGGGTTATATGGGTGGTTTCCTCAGGTGCCTCTTTTATTCAGATTATGCATGCAGTAATCAGGATATGTGAAGCCCAATGTCACAGAGACAGAGACATACAGAGAGAGAAAGCTTCATCACTAACAGGAAAAGGCATGCAAGGTATGCTCCTCTAACATGACTTCAGAAGTAACTGACATGGCTCAAGAACAATGGAGTATAGCATTTCTTCATGCCCTGTCTTCATTTTGTAAATATTTTAACATTGTATTTTTGTATATTAGCAATGACAGCCTCATTAATGGCATTCCATTCTTAAAAAAAAAATAAAGTAAAAAACGATATACTGAGAAGTGCCCATCTACAAAATTCTCCAATTCTTAAGACATGTCTAGTTCTTTGTTTTGTCATTGTGATCTGGCAATAACAGGGACAAAAGTTAGGTCTACAGAAGTCAAAACTGAACATTACATGGTCTGTTGCTACTATGAAAAATTTCTGAAATTGACTCACCAGTCCATCAAGCTTGCTATAGGAATCCAGGAAATCCATTTGATTGTGGTATTGGAAATGGTTTAAATTTATGGTTTTACATTCCGGAGTATCTTGAAAGCTGTGTTATAACAGTTTCTTACTACCTCCATATTCCAAGGAAATTGGTCAGTCTATTGTGGGATATCTATTAAAATTTTATTTTCAAACCAAAACTCTCCATTTGATCACTATAAAAAGAAATCATTCCCAAAAAATATTGCTTAGAGGTGAAAGTAAAGTGCAACAATGCGATTGAAGAGGAAAAAGATGAAAGACCTCCACCCTTCAAAGCAGGGGCCATGATTCACATGTGAAGGCAACACACACAATTGGCTTATATACAGGGTAGCCATAAACTTCCTTAACACTTTCAAGAACTGCTAACTTTCCAAGTACTCAACAAATGAAAATAAAAACTGGCAGTTATGTGGTGTGCACATGAAAATTTGTTTAAAAGCAAACTTCAAGCTCAATTAGGTGGTCCTTAAAGGGAATAGTGTCTCAGCTCATTATGCTATCAATGTCAGAAATTGGGAAAACACCCCCCCCCCCCCAACATTGACAGAAAAGAAAATCTTATTGAATTGGCTCCACATTATGCTGGCTTATCTCCAGTGTTTTTTTTTTCCTCTGGTGCAATGTAAAAACCAGGGAATACACAAAAAACCCCAAGTTGTCAACAATATGAAGAATGAAATTTGTTGCCACATTTCAGACATATCTAAGGGAATCTTGTCAGAAACAACTGAGAAATAATAGAAAAGCAGCAGAAATACCAGAATGTTGAAGGTAGGAATGTTGAATAATTGGCCACCAGATAACTTCTTTCGATTTTCATTAGGAAATTTTTCTGTTGGGGGAAATACTTTTAAATGTCAAAAACAGCATAATTCCAAGGAAATTTTGTTCATTACCTGATATAAGTATTTTGATCTTCAGATTTCCAACAATGAAAAATTTCACATGTGGATAACATTAAGTTTTTTTTTTTTTTTACATATTTGGAATACTTCAGGAGTGATGAATTTTTTAAACTGTAAAGCAAGGGTGTCAAACTGGCAGCCTGTGGGTCGGATCTGGCCTGCCAGCTTATTTTGTCCGGCCTGTGAATTCAACAGTTGGTTATGGAAAGGTGCTGTAAATTTCAGCCTTTTGCATTACAGATTAGGTGTTAGGTTTTTATTATGGCCTCTAATCACCCCTGAAGGCTTCCATCCAGCCCCCCGTCGAATCGAGTTTGACATTCCTGCTGTAAAGCAACTTTACAGGCACCCTGTATACAAGTAACATGAAACAATCATGCAAAGAAAAGATGGAATAGAGGAGAAATCAAAGAAACACCATTCATGGGAGGAATGGCAATAGCACTTGAGCATAGAATGAAGGAGGAAAAAAAAACCCAAGAAAATGCAAAAAATTTGCTCTTTTCAAAAGAGTCTTTTTTTTTTATCACAGTGCCAAAGAGGAAGCAGAATTAGCATCATATCAGCCAAAGTAAAAAGCAATAGAGAAATGAAAGAGAGGCAAGGAAGACATATCACAGTTGCTTTTCAATTCAATTCAAATCAGTTGCTTGTCAACTAGAACATCTAACCCTCCTTGTTTCAACTACAATCATTGTCTCCAAGGACATTGGGATGGTCTTCCACGGACCACACTATGGAATGATTCCCCCAGCCAGATATCTCTGATAGGACATGGAAGAGCATGTCGCTATGACGCAGCTCATCTACTGTCCACCAGTGCCGATCCCTTGGATGGAATGCTAAAAAACGTTCTACACCTTGTGTTTCTTCTGAGCTCAATGGCTGAAGTACAGGAAGGGGACCTGCCCCAGTATGGTCAACCTTAACACGAGATTCACCTGTAGCAAAATTACTGCTGACATGACTGTCTGCTAAGGAATGATTCAAACATGTCAATTCTGCTGCACACATCACATCTTGAGAGGATTCTGTCTTTTCAGAGGTATTCTGAAAGGAATCATTTGTCAGGGTATCCTGAATCAATTCTGTCTTTAAAGTATCCTGAGTCAATTTCATGATTTCTAGGGCATCCTGAGTGGATTCTATTGTTTCCAGGATGCCCCCAGAATATTTTGTTGTTTTCAAAGCATCCTGTGAAAGCTTGTTAGCTTCTAGGTTACCCTCAGATGATTCCAATGTTTCCAAGGTGTCCTGAGAGGGCTCTGTAGCTTTCAAGGTACCTTTAGTGGATTCCATAGTTTCAATGACTTCCTGAGAGATCTCTGTATCTTTCAAGGTATCCACAGTGGATTCCATTGTTTCTGAGGAGTCCTGATTGGGCTCAGTTGCTACCAATGTACCCTGGGAAGTACCAATGGTTTCCAAGGTATCTTGGACAGATTCTGCCTTCTTCAAGCTATCCACAGTGGATTCCATTTTTTCTGAGTCCTGAGGGGGCTCAGTTGCTACCAATGTACCCTGGGAAGAACCTATGGTATCCAAGGTGTCCTGGATAGATTCTGCCTTTTTCAAGGTATCACGAGGTGATACTTTTTTTCTGAGGGTTTCAATATTGCCTTTGATTGCCTGAGACTGAACCAGTGCTTTAGGCAAAGAGTCATTATACTTCAGGATATTCATTTTGCCTTTAGGTATAACAGGCTGAGAATGTTTTGCTGCTTCTGGTGAAAGGGTTAAAGAGTCATCAAAGCCATTGCCCCTCTGTGAATTATTGATACATTTCATAAAATCAGCTTTGCTATGTAGAGGGTCTGAGCAGTGCTGGAGAAATGCTTCAAACTGATCAAGTTTGGGACTCAGGGCAGTCCTAGAAGCTTTCTGTCCTTTTGACTGAATTCCTGAAGAAGGAAAATGAATCCCATTCTTTCCCAAAGCTCTTCCATCTCTTGACTTATTTGTGACATTAAGAAGAATGATCATCTCGCGTCGAACACCATCAATTGAGTCTGAATAGCGAGTATCAGGTGAAGCTTTGTACCCCATGAGTCTGTGTAGAATACGATTATTGTGATACAAGTCCCTCAGTGCCTGAAGCTGAAGGAAGAAATCACAAACGCGAAGGCTTTTCTCATATTGTGCTATTAAGCGGGCAAAGATGATACCTGGGTCTCCATTGGCATTCACAAGCTGCCGCTTTTGTTCCATATCTGCTTTCTTCTCCAAGTCACCATGGTATGTCACATTGCTGGAAAAAAAAAGAAGAAATCAGATTAAGCCAATGGCTATGAGCAAAAACACAGGGGAGCTTATTTAAAACAAGCTGACAATTTGCAACACACCTAATAACTTTTGAATGCTGACGAATACGAAGGGTTTCGGGATCATCAGCAACTGATGTGTACTTTCCTCGGGCCTTCTCAAAGTCTGCATGGTACTTGATCTGAAATCAAAGGAAGACATTACAACAGATGGTTAAGAAAAACGGACTCATTCACATTGATAAGACTCTGTGACAAACTCACATTGGATTGAATCTTGGTGTTCTCTGCTATCCTCTTCAGCTCTGGAGTCTCATCCACAGTAGTTGCCTTCGGCTTGGGTATGTGTCTGAAGAGAATGCAATTACATGCAAATATATATGGAGCAAGCTGGCATGCATGCTGTACATCAAGCAATACTTACTAGTGATACACTGATGCATGAGATTTGATTAAGTGTATGTGTATCCCTATTTTAAGAATCTAACTTATTAGTACAACAAGGATGTAAGCAAGTCAAGTAGTTATGAAGGCTCAGAATAGAGAAGTGATGTATGTAGCATAAACTTCAATTCAGTCTTTCTTCAAACTTTCAGCAAGTGCCACAAACCTTAGAGTAGTTATAATTTCTCAGGTCTCTCATGCCTTAAATCAAGTCTTTTTTTTGTCATTTGATAAGAATTTTAGTTTACTTTACAAAGAGATAGGTATGCCATAATATTTGTCTTAGTCATAAATTTATTCTGTGCAACATAAATTATGATGACTTCAACATCTGTACAGCAGAAATCCTGCCATTTTCTACATTATTACAATTTTAGAACAAATTTCAACAGAGTTCATGCTTTTAGCCCAACTCAAGCAACTTAAATAGTTCCCACCTGGCACTCTAGATTATGAAAATGTATAACATACTTTAAGAAAATTATTAAACTAATCCACATGCATACAACAATTTACTAAGTAATATTCTTGAAGTATGAGAGCAAATCTTTTGGAAATGAAATACAAAGAAAAAACTTAATTAAAGATTTACATTGCAACGATAAAAGTTGGTGTCTGCTTTACTTTCACAAATTTTGCCTGGCAAATGGCAAAAAGAATCTGAAAATTTAGTTGGTCATGGATTTTTCACAAGGCTCTAACATTGATGCAATGCTGAACAGGGTTAAGTACAGGGTGGCCAAAATGTAATTTCACACTTGGAAGTCCAAAAGATTAATGATATAAAAATAACACATTTATAAAAAATTTGGCACTGCTCACTTAGGCATGACTTCTTAAGGGGTCAGTGATATCCTCAAACCTATAACAATATATACTGAATTTTCCATTACGAACAATGAGTATAAATATGCACAAAAAAGTGCAAAAAAGTGCGAAGTTACATTTGGGCCACCCTGTATGTGGAGCTGGTCAATTTACTTCACTAATCACTTTTTTTTTAAATAGAAAACCAATGTAGTTACTGGTGTACAACCTACAAATAAATAGCAAAAAAAAAGAGAGAAAAAATTATGTATTATGGACCAGTTACAAAAGTTGCACATCTTTTCCTACCTCCAATCCAGCATCAATTGAATTGATGTTGGATTGGAATTTGGAAATGAATGCAAAGATGGAGCTTAACCCTAGAACTGCCAACTGTCAATAAATCTACAGCCAACCATCAAATTTATTAACAGCTGGCAGTTCACAGGTTAACATCTGGCAGAAAATCTGAGAATGCTAGACTTTTTGTCAAACTCCTTATTTTTCTTCTTGTCCATTTCCCATTCATGCAAGCTTCCTATTTTTTTTATGCATGCACTACAAAACTCATGTAGTCAAACCTAAATACAATCACATTGGACACTAGTCATGGCACTGGCATAGGCACTGATATAGGATTCTTTGAATCCACAGCAGATAATGGAAGTTAAAAAGCTTGTAAAAATGCTAAGCAAGCTCTGCCTACAAAGAGCTGGCCAGGACATATTGGATAATACCTACAAAAACAGTAGAATACTAGTCTGAGAAGTACCTCTGATACACATCACTCCTACAAATATCACCAAAAAACATCTCGCTCAAACTTACGCTTCACAGTATGGTAGCTTGTTGAAGCCTTTGTAATTCCTCATGTTGAGGCTCATCCCACATTCTTGACACTTGAAACAGAGTTTGTGCCATACCTGTCAAGGGAAGGAATCAGCTATTAATCATAGCACAGAAAAATATGCCCTAAAATTGCTCTTGGAACATTGACACAATTTGCTTACAAAGTTGGCAAAAAAAAAAGAAAAAAAAAAAGAAGAAGCTGTACCTCACATTACTAACATCCAAGAACAAGATTACTTTTTTAATTCTCCTTTTAGGAAGTAGTAAGCCTGGTTTGGACACCTGGGTTGGTGACAGGTTTGACCTCAACTCTAGATCAAAGGACAACTCACTTTATCCAAGCACTTGAGCTCCTCAAGAGGATACACAGTCTTTTCACAGCGGGCACACTTCTTAGACATTTTCAACACAACACTGCATCTAAGTTGGCCCAAAAAAGCACCACGATAACAGTACACTTGAACTCTTCTGTCACGATGGATGGCAAAATCCGTTTATGGGGTTTCTATCCATGTCCAACCCATCACAAACAATCAAACTTCACAACTACACAGGTGACATCTGAAGCAAGTAAATGTGAATCAGACCTTATAATAACAATATAGGCAAAGCCCATATGACTAACATGTAACTTAGCCTTAAAAGGGTGACTAATATAGAATGCTCATTCTACTACGGCTCGGTCTAGCAATCCCTAGGCCTCCTAACCTGCAAGAAAAGAGTAAATAAACAGAAGAGCACAAACATATGCAATCACTTCCGGTGGTTCTTTTGAGGCTGAATAGAAAGGCTCAGGTCTATATTTATCCCTATGCCTATATAGCCCTAGGCTTACCAGTACATCAAAGGTCACGCCTAAAATCTAAGGCTTAAGGAAGTTTCTCCCATATATGCACAAGCCTTGAAGTATTGAGCTGAAGTCAAAAGTCGTGCGAATTCATTCACATGTCACAGTATGACTGTGCTCATTTTCTCTTCATCCAGATGGCACGTATGCTCATACAGTAGGGGTATGCTAACTCATGTAATGAGCGTCCCATGCTGCGAAAGTGTAGTCAGGTGCACTAAATCAAGCCCCTGGACTGAATGAGGTCCTGCACCAGATGCAATCCGCCATTAGGGGCTTGGGCACCTTCGACTTCCCCGATGATTGCGACACCAAGCCACGACCAGCACACTTCTGTCACACACTCTTACAATAAAATAATAAATCCTCGTATCTTGGCTCTGAATCATTCACCAGAGGTGAGTGAAGGTCACGGAACTTTGCAAGGCCCATTCCTTATCTCGAATCGTCACCAATAACGAACAGCTCCGAAGAGCGCCTCGGGTTCGATGGCTCCACCAACGCCGCGCACCGGCGAATGAGCTGGCGTGATGACAGTTTCGAGAGCATCCGATTCCTGCCGTGCGCAAAGTACTCTTTTAGCAGCGTCTTTTTCTAGAGGGCTCTCGGCCGCGTGAGTCAAACTGGCGCTTCGTTTCCTCAGTCGTCATCCGTGACGTCATCGTTCTAGGCCGCAGCGGAAGCGCTGAGTTGTGCCGCTAAATATGGACGGTGCCGATATGGCACATGGCACTTCGTGAGAGGGCTCGCGCGTTCCAGTGAAGTTTTGCGTCTTTGCGCCTGGGAGAGAGCTGGCGTTTCAGAAGCCCTCTGAACCCTGCTTCAACGTCAGCAGAGGGAAATGCTCAAACCAACGTTGGAGGTGGATCTCCAGTAGAATAAAAATTTCTCTCGATACAATCGATTCACGAGGTCAATAGTTCCAGGCCAAAAACTGCATGAACCTGAGACCAGGAAAAGGTCGTTCAAATGAGATTGCGTTCCACTCCAATCATAAACAAAAATTACTCGTTATAACTTCACTCAAATTTCGAATTGAAATTATTCATAACACTTCTTATTCTCGTTGAATAACGACTCAGCGTGATCGGTCTCTTGAACGTGTTTATTGACTTGGGCGAGGCCGCGGAAGCAGATGACTGCAATTCAGGGTTGCCAGATGTTTTAAAGCGTTTTCTTCGTTTATCTTCGTATGTCTTCCTTCATCCCGCATGTTATTTCTCCGCGAACAAGTTTCCAATTTTAAATGTATAGGGCAGGCCATCGGTGCTGCTCGATTACGAGTTTCATTTTCGATAAATACTCCAATTTTTTTTTCCGTCTACTTGACTTCATTTTACTTGCGAGGAAATGCTCCGAATTTTAATCAGTTTCTGCAAGTAAATGCATGAGCATTTAAATGTCAGCATATATTATATGTATCTGAATATCTGAACAATGACTAAGCTTGCTAGTTTTCAACAAAGGATTCCAAATGAGGAATTTACGTGTGTTCATCTCGATTATTCATGAGTGCCGATGAAACGGTTATATTATTAATAAAAAAAAGTCAATTATTAGTTAATCTTAGTGGGCCGCATAAAACCATGAAATGGGCCGCACTTTCAATACCGTTAATGAGTTGCTTTTAGAGCTTTTAGTTTTTTGCGCTATTTTGTGCAGTTCAGGCAATATTTAGGCTTATGGACACTTCAGAAAAAGTCTTGGGATGATTTCTAGAGATTTTTTTTCAGAAAATTCGAAGTTTCGGTACAAACCTGGTCACGAGCAGCTCGGGGCACGCGAATGAGCTCGAATGCGGCTGGAGAGATGAGGCACAGCGTTTCGGAGGCTTCACGATTGGCAGCAATCGCCCGTCCCGCAAAACCGTGCCAATCTTCATCAAAATTTGCGACGTCGGGAAATGCAATTCCCACTGTTAAGCTTGTCTAATCCCATCGAGCCCCTTTTCAGCACTGAGCAACACTGATCAACCGAGCAACACTGTTCGACCGAGCAACACTGGCAAGTCGAACCAATCAGCCAATCGCATCCCCACAAACGGACGGAACCCGAAAAGGAGGTCTCCGCCTCAGTCAACGCCAGGACGTCGCCCCCGCCGGGTCTCCCCCTCTCCCCCCCCCCCCTCCCCCTCTCCCTCCCCCCTCCCCCTCTCCCCCCTCCATCGCCTCGAGAGACTTCAAAGATTCCCCGGACGTGCCATTTCGTCCTGTCGTCGGTGAGGATTCCCCCTCGTCACACGACTCATGTTTCACGAACGTGCGACGAAACGTGCCAGGCGAAAGCCTGCCAGTTGGACTGATCCCAGACGGATCCGGCCTTGGCAGATTCCAGCGAAACTCATCCGTCGGTGTAAAACACACATTCCGACGGCCTATCCCTCCTTGTTAGTCACACTCGTCACACTCGACGTGACAGGTGTGCTCGATCCATATTTCCCCGAGAAAATATTAATTTCCCCGGAAAATCAGGGTTGCCAGATCCGGCTCTCGATCGCATCCGGAACCGGAACGACAGTGTTTGAACACGTCAACCTCGAATTTCCGTTTTGACAGTTTCTCTCGCTATCGCATGCCATCCAGCCGACCTCGCTCGTAAAAAAAAAAAAGCAGAGGGCGCTGCGATCCCTTCGCGGCTTTTCAAAGTACCTTAATGTTTCTTTCATGAACCGAAACCGAACCGAAACCGAACAGACGTTTCGAAGTCGGCGGGGAGGCAATTAAGGGCAATGAAGGGCAATGAAGGGCAATATAGGTGAAAACGCCCGCTGATCGCGCACTGAAGCCTGCAAGCCGCGGTCACCCGCTTCCCTTTCGGTATCGGTGACACGATTCGGTGACGAGTCGATTCGGTGACACGATTCGGTGACGAGTCGACATCAGTCATCTCCCGCCGCGACTCGGCGATCATTTCGCGGAAGGAATTCCGCCGATCCCGAAAATGACTTTCAGTCGACGCGGGATGCTCGCCATTTTTCTTTCTCAGTGCATTTTTTTTTTGGCACGCCAATTCGCTTCCACCGCGCC